GAGCTTCATCACGGACTTGAGTTTATTATGAAGAAGAATCGTCATATATCGACATAGAGCTCGATAACTCGTAGTCAATATAATATAATACGACTTACACGATGCATTCTACATTCAAGTCAAGACTAACCCTCGCTCTCGAATGATTACTCGGAGCTGTTGCTTGATATCATGTCATAAAGTCAGGAAGTTAAGGTAGTTCCGTCTTATATTCTCTAGATAAAGGCATCAATAGCCACGTTAGCAAACAGACTCTATGAGGTATAATACTATAACTACGTTTTAGTAACATATATTTGCGCGCTTTCTCTTGAAATGGGCGAGTGTGTGTCCGAATTATTTACTCTTAACTCTACTCAAGCGAGGGAGGACTGTTACGTTGTGCGAAGTCCAAATTTAGTTGTATAGCGTTTGAATGAATAGAGGTCAATAGGGTCTGTGTCCTACTGCCGTTAACGTCTCGCACTAATGCTTCCTCGTGATGTTATGATCTAGATGGGGCAATCTGGAAAGAAGGGGTTTATTTGCATATACAGACACATATGCAGACACTAACACCTATAGTCTAGGTTTAGAGTTCCTTACGGAACCGCGAGACTATTTCTATGCCTTCTAGATCCACCTCGTGACACATGAGATGAAGATGGCGAGCTAACTAATATCCAAGTGAAACTCGGGGCTTTGGTTTAGGATGGACCATAAGGACAAGCTGGTTCTTCATGCAAGTGACACTTCTCTGCTGACGTTCGAGCTCTGCATTGACTAAGGAAGGTATGGAATAGGTAGTCATCTTGATATCTGCCATGTGTTAACCTTTGTATAGCCAGCCGTACCCTAACTACCTAATTAATTAATATCACGATTAATGACTTTCCCAACAACCCATAATACGTAAAAACCATCAGACTTGATTGGCACTTGTGATTTAAAACATAAAAGGTGCTTTCGAGGTAGCGATCCTATTCGCCCGATTCAGGTTCCGGATATTGGAAAGGAGTCGGATGCAAGAGTGCGGCTTGCCTCGACCCGGCGTAGACAAATAGATAAATACATCTAATTGTCCACCGCATGGTATTATTCTATGAGGAAGCATTTGCTACAATCATATTCCCCTTGGGACGCTACCAGTTATTCTTAGAGATGCTATATCTATGACCCGGGTTTTCGGTCTCCGGTACCTCTAGATGGAGCAACTCCACATCCCCAAGGCCAGCCCCGAAGTCTGAGAAGAGATCCACACCGCTATCTTCCTAATGTGCTCTTTAGAGACAGTAGCGGACGTTCTAAGTTGACGCGTCTTGAGGTATGCCTAGATGATACATGACCTTGCCACGCCACCTCCTAATCATGAGAAGGGACCAGATTTACTAGCCCTGTCGCACTTCACACGACCGGAGGGAAGTATTCTGGCCCAGGGTGTCAAGATTCTAGATGAGACTTCTAGAATAAAGGGCATGTTCAGTATGCATAGACACAGACTCTCATAGATAGATTAGAGTTCCTTGCGGAGCGACGAAGTTGTTCCTCTACTGTCTAGTTCCACCCCGTGACACAGAAGCCAATTCTCCAGCTCAGATTACTTACTCTAAAGAAAGACGAAAGGTCCTAAGCGCCTTGGCCCAATGCCTTGATGGATCATCGCACTTAGTTTATGGCATATGAGTTGAGGACATGCGGGATGGACTAGTATGGTATGTCGACAATATTTTACACTCGAATCGCTACATCGCGCCGGCGTGGAGCTAGGTATCGACCCGAGGCTAAGTTGATATAGAATATGCTCACAGGTTGTTAGCACGATTAGCTGCCCTCGGACATGGATTTATGCATACTAGCCATCTCCACGATCGACCACAGTGTGTACAGCCCGATCGATGGATACCTAAAAATCGAGGCTATGGCTATAGAGTCGGCATCCCCCTATCTTGCCCACGAGAAGTGCGTCGGCTTCTTTGAACTCTTGGACTTTGAGTGTGCCTGGAAAGGGTCATCTAGGTTCCTTATCGACTGTAATTCCGTCAACAGTAGAGGTCAGAACGAGACAACTTCGCCTAGTATTGTTAACTATTGGCGCCGTTTTGGGAGGATGGGTATAGCTCAGATGGATTCTTAATGCAGTGTCCTTATTAAGTAGGCGATAAGAGGACCTGGACTTATATAGACATATATAGGATCATATAATGCTCATTCGGTTTAAAAATACCCTACGAGAATCATACTGGACACTTAGACCTACCTGCCTAACGTTAGATGTATATATATGATAACTACGTTATAGTATAAGTTGAAGACGTTGCTAAATTATACTACTACTAACTCTATAACTTATAATAGTTAACTAAAGATTACTAGCCTTTACGCAACCTTTCCTGGACTCTAAGCCCTTATAACTTATAATTATAATTATTAACTGAAGTTACAACTCAACTTCTAAACTTCTATCTACTATGCTCTTGTATCTTTCCCCTGACATTTGCTTAATTGGCTCCTTTAGCGCCAGTGGAGACCACCCGTGTAACCTAAACTTTCATAGGGCAAGCGAACTTGAGGCCATCTCGTTTATTTCTCGTATAAATCCCACAAAAAAAAACATCGGCCCACCCAAAAGCCGTAAAAAACCCCCAAGGCAAGAAAAAATAAATGCCCACTACTGGAGTCGAACCAGTCATCTCCTCATAGCTTCCTTAGTAGTATTCAGAGAATACTAGTGAGGCGCATTACCGCTGTGCCAAGCGGGCTTTTGTGGATTGGTGAAAATTCGTTGCTAAAGTTCACTTATGTACCATTGACGGATTGGATATCGTGGCATGAAGAAGGGGATGACGGTGAGGATTTGGTACAGGTGCGCAAACATTGTTTAGATGAACTTTGGAATACTGGGTTGATTTTCTATAATGACCATTTGCTGGATCATGTAATACTCCCGACCTTTTATATTCTTTATCTCTTTTTCTATTATTTTTATTCTCTCGTATACTTGTCTTATACATATCAGTAGAGAGTATAATTCTCTTAGTTTAGTTTCGGTATTAACCTTGTCTCTTCACTGGGCTCTTCTATAAACACATACTGCCTTTTCTATAAGGTAGCTAAATATATCAAGCATCCATTGCACGCCTCAACTCTATACCGTGATTAGTCTCCCCATATGCTCCTATAAATGTACTTTACAGGTGGAAAATATTGTACTCATCGCATCCCTGGGTCTATACTAATCTAATATAGCTGGCTTGACGAGTATTATACGCCGAAATTAGTTTGATCCCATCGTCCCTTCTACAATGCGTGATTAATAGATGTTGTAACCAGTCTGTAGACCTCCCCAAGCTATAAGACTTTGCTCCCCTTTATTTAACCGCTTAGGGAGACATGAAACTGTGTAGGAGCAAGACTTTAAACATAAATAACTTCCTAAAGGGGAGACCTGATATACTCCTAATTTCCGTCTGCTAACACCATTGTCCCCGATTATTGGGTTCCTTCAAAAGCTCCTATACTACCGCATAGGAGAACTATACTTTAGGCCCTTCTCGACCCATTCTGGTTCTGGCCCTGACCGAAGAGGTCGACGATTGGTGTATGATAAGGCTCTTCGGGGGGCCACGCTGTAATAAATGCACCGTTCTTCGAGGCCTTGGCCGCATCCGCTGCGGTCCAGGACGACTGGTTGTTCTGTGCCCGTGATTGTGAGTATTGGACAGGCGAAGACTTGGCCAAGTTGAGCCGCGAACGTGTGGACTTCTTCATGGAGTTAGACATTACGGCTGGTTGCTATTGACTTCAGTTTGTTGTTCGTCTTGTTCGAGTTGGCTTCTGAGAGGCCGCTAACAAAATTTCACAGGAAGAATGTAGATTATTTGGAATATTGGAGGTGAACTAGGTAGTAATGCTTCGGGTCGCGTATGGACCGTCTATATGATATATCTATGGCGTGGAACTTGGAAGAAATAATAGAGGTGAATGTAAGATTTTGTCTTTATGGGGTTGTATGTATTAGAGAGAAGGGAAGAAAAGCTAAATTTTTCTACGCGAAGTTCTGCTACATTTTATACAAAAGTAAATACACTACAGAGAAACATACACACCTTCCGTCGCGTTGCAGATGTATCCGCAGAATGGAGACCCAAGGGACTGGATCCTCTGTTCTACAGCACCTCATCACGGGGAACTACCCACTTAGAGTAACGAGTACATACTATAATAAGTTTGACAGGTCTTAACATCGGGGGCTAAACGGGGTACCGGACCTCGTAGTCAAAGTGCAATAACCGACCTTCTAAGTCAAACTTGCTGCATAGGCGTAGGACAGAATCTCGCATATTGACAAGTGCCCTTGGCTTAGGCGATCGACGTGAGAGGTAGTTTGAAATAGAGATGGTGCGAATCAAGGAAATGGACATCGGAGAGAGACAGATACACGTAAATATTGAACTCGGGTCTATCAACCGTGTCATGAGACATCTCGTCCGGAGCTGAGGCGAAAGATTGACAACGGGCATTAGCGTCACACCAACCAGAGACTCACAGGTTCGGGGATTCGGTCATGGCCAATCACATAGGGTATGGGGAATTGCGGCTGCCCAGCTTGCCGAAATTTAAGACACTTGCTGCGCATAAGCAGGTCTTCGTGACCCGTAGATAGACCGTGTAGGACGACATAGATTGTGTATCCAGGATACATAAGGTCAATGCAAAGGGATTTACACCAATCTTCAAAGTGATCCTTGCTGCCCGTCGAGCTCGTATGAATCCCGGCACCATCGTCTAGCAGAATATGCTTAATTACTTCATAAATTCTTAATCGGAATCCAGCGTTAAGTACTAGGTAACCTAACCTCCTAGCTTGCCAATAGCTCGCCGGCTCCCGAAACATATCTGAATCGCATTGCCACTTGCTGGTTCTCTATCGCCCGGGCCATATTCTCGGGTCCAAGCAGGACGAGTGGATTTTGCACAAGGCACCCGGACGGGTTTGTGCTTTGGAGCCTGCAGAAACGTGTTTATGCGGCAGCCTTGGTCGCGTCTTTCTCGTCCTTGACCTCCTCTTCACCTTCGAGAGCCGGCATATCGTCGTCGGACTCATCCTCCTCCTCCTCCTCGCCACCGGGCATACCACCAGCAGCGCCGAGCTTGGAGAAATCGATACCGCTAAAGTCACCGCCGGCACCGCCTAGTGTTCATGTGTTAGCTTAGTCATAGTTAATAGGTGTTCATCTTTAAAAGTTACGTACCCATTCCGCCCATGCCACCCATACCACCCATGCCTGGCATACCTCCTGTAAAAAGGATAAATGTTAGTCAAGAGATTTTGTATGGGTGAGGATCAATCTGTATATGAATAGATCTTGAAGAAAAGCATGTGCTTAGAGAAGGGGATAGGGATAGACCGTGTGGATTATAAATAGTTCACATACCCATGCCACCGAATTGTGATAAATCTTCTTCAGGAGCCTCGTTCTGCTCGTCCTCATCGACCCACTTGTCGAAGTCGGTCTTCAAGAACTGGACTTTCTTAGATTCCTTGAGAAGACGCGGCCAGTACTCGTCGTTGAGCTCCTTCTTGCGCAGTTTGAGCTCAACATTGCGAGCGGTATGGTGGACCTGGCTCTCGGCGGGGTCAATCTCAGCGTAGAAGGTAAGGTCTAGGTGGTACGTTCGCTTCAGGGTCTCAGAGTGACCGGTGAAGGTTAGGGTTGTAGGCTGAAGATCAAGCTTCAGGTTCTCCTTGGGGACATCGGGAACCGAAATGGTGAGATAGAGAAAGTTCTTCTCGGGTTCCGCGTTGGAAGAGCGCTGAGCCCATAGTACTACGCAGAGAATAGTTAGCATGTGTATGCTCTGATAGATGGAATATCCATGTATACAACGTAGACATCGACCCAGTTACATGGTACGCTGCCCACCCCACTGGCACGAAGCTAGACATGGAGGTGCTAATTCAGGTAGTAGACTTACCTTCGGGAGTGACCTGCGCCATCTTGACTGCTATAGGATATCTGAATTTGTTGGTGGGGGTGACGGTATATGACGTCGGTCAAGTATGTAAGTGTAAAAAGGTAGTGGGTGGAAAATAAAATCTCAAGTTGGGATCGCAAATACAACGGTAGTTTTATCGTCTACTTGTTGGAATTGGTGGGAAGAGAGTTTAAGAAATAAAAAATATGAGGCTGTTCTAGTAAAGAGCTTAATGATGCACCCCTCCGATGAACATCGAACCCGCACGAAAGCGGCGGAAGCAGCAGGGCTAGATTTGGATTTGCACGGGGGGTAGCTGCCTGGGCTTCACCAGGAATTCGCACTGTAAGACGTAGCCTAATTGGGCATAGACTTCGCGGTAGTGTTTGTACAATACCTTCGTATTTCTGTCAATAAAGCAAGAGCCCTACGTACATCTTCAGCTTATGTACCAACTTGTCATAAAAGCCACTCAATTGCTGCATACTATGTAGGTACTTTCATGTCGACGTTAAAGAAACTCTACCGAAATTTTAGCATCCTTTTCAATATGCACGTATTTACTTTCTATTTATTTAAAGACCGTAGCATCGAAAGACCATTACCAAACCCCGAGATGACCGCATGAAAGCAGAGAAATTCCAGAAGCCTCGCCTACGTACCCAGGTCCCAGGTCCCAAATTTCTGGATTCATCTGCATAATTAATATTGGAGTTGCATTCTTCGATACAATCTTCTCTGTAAAGAATACAAAGACTTAAGGTATGTATAGCAAGACACACCCGTGGACCTTGCGGATCTTTAAGGATACTGTACTTATTTACGGATGCAAAACATGATTTCTGATAGTACGATTAAATTGAACAATATGATAAATGATATCTCTCTTTTAATGTACCTGCGTATCTGTAATCTGTAGCAACATTAGTGGTGGCTTTACGTAAGCATCTAAGGTAAGCATCGAAACGCCTTAACACTGTGCTGGATAACCATCCAAGTTAGCACTTTAGCGGGGTTAAGCTGTTCCTGAATTCCCCATCTTTTCCTGTCAGCCTGGACCAACCGTAACCAACGTCATTTAGATTGCGTTAAGCTGCATAACACGCAACCATCTATAATCTATCAGTCCCACTACTCTCCTTACCTAAGGTGTATTCAGCCTCCCCCGGACTGCTTTGCCAGATCCCATCTGAGGCCCCTCGGCAGGAACCGTCTTGTCGATTTGAATCTAGACCTTTCAATCCAGACAACATCTACGATAGCCAACCCCCAAGATGGAGAGTCTCAAATCACTCTTCGTTAAACCAGACCCCAATGCCCAGGTAAGCAACTCCCTATCCTTCTCTTGATAGAGATCCAGCTAGGTGGCGTTTTTCAACTTACACTACTCGTCTGAAAATAGATGCGAAAATGCAACGCCTTAATACGATCCAACATCCGTAAGCTCGATCGAGACATCAACCAGGTCAAGCAAGTCGAGATCAAGACCAAGAACCTTATCGTCCAAGCGGACCGACGATCCCAACGGAACCCACAACAAGCAAAGCAGGCGCAACGAGAAGTGCGCGACTTCGCCAAGGAGTTGATTCGGGCGCGGCGCACGTCGGCGAGGCTAGTGACGTCCAAGGCGCAGCTGAACAGCGTGCAGATGCAGGTGAACGAGGCGTTCGCGGTGCGCAAGATCGAGGGCAGCATCCGGGCCAGCGTAGGCGTCATGAAGGATGTCAACAGCCTGATCCGGCTACCGCAACTGGCAGGAACCATGCGCGAGCTGTCCCTCGAACTTATGAAGGCCGGTGTCATCGAGGAGATGGTCGGTGAGAATCTACCCGTGGACGATATGCTGGAAGACGAAGAGGAAGAAGCCGAAGGCGAGGTCGATAAAGTACTGGGAGAGATCCTTAAGGGCCGTATGGAGAAGGCGGGCGCGACGCCCAGCGCACCGCTGCCATCTCACCCCCAAGAACAACCTGTCCAGCTAGAGGAAGAGGAAGAGGATCCGGAAGCTATGATGGACCAGATGAGGAACAGATTGGAAGCTCTCAGGAGCTAGAACTTGGATTTTTCTTTTTTGCGTCCATCCTTGGGAAGTCGTTCAGTTATATTTTGTATTGGCGTTATGGTGTAGCATTCCTGGGCGACGACCATTCGCCTTCAATGTCTGGTTGGGTAGGTACATATTTCGTGTTTAGCTATCAGAGAAGAGAAGACGGCTAAGAAATGCTGTGTATATAGAGATTATAACATTATTGTTTGGGTCGATGTCTATTCTAGACTGCCTGGTATGCATTAGTCAACGTGTAGACCATTTATATATCTCATTTTGCTTTAACAAACAGGTCTATACATGAACTATCTTGTAAGGTAGTTTCTTATCTCCTATATAGCTAAAGCCCCTTCATTATTAAGGTGCTAAACAACTGAACACATCATCTATAAATTTGCTTGCGAGTACTTCATGAACTTGAATCTCCTCCATTTTGAAAGCTTGAAATTTTCCAGAGCCCCCTATTCAATATCACACAACACCACGGATACCGTTTATCTAATAACAGTAATAACATCCGTCTAAGGATAATCTGACCTATAGTCCCGGTATGATATCCAAGCTCTTCTCTCTCTACACATACCTGCAAATAGAGGACCTCAAGTGTATAGCAGCTCTTCATCTTTCTATTTCAAGGTCTCGGAAGGAATCCTACTATCCCGCTACGTCTAACACACCACAATACCTACTTACTTCAAACTCCATCTCGGAGTAGTGGACGGGAGATCATCGCGCACCTGATCCTCCGCCGTCCAATCCCAGCTCGGCGCCGTAAACACATCTTTAGCGAACTTATCCGCACCCAATGCGTTCTCGAAGCGCAACCGCTGATCTCCCGCCAGCGACCTCGTAAACTGGAATGGTGCCACCTCTGGTTTGTCCTTACCCTCGGTATCAGGCGGCATCCAGGCGACCGCCTGACGATTGTTCTTCCAGGTATTTCTGGTTATGGGGACGGAGTTCGCCGATAATAGGCCTAGTATGAAATCTAGGATGGGTATGATACGCGTACGCATCCCGCAGTTAGTGTGGTTCTTGTCTATCTGGTAGCTGGGGAACTGTCGCAGAGTGGCGATTACGGCGTCGATTTGCAGTAGGGAGGTATCTGCGATGGAATCGAGAGATGCTGGTGAAAAGTCGACGAGGAACATGAGATTCTTATTCGTCAGAAACTTGAATATCTCGCCTAACTGGTACGAGTCGCAAGCCGCACTCGAATCATAGCCAAGCTTACACTGCCGCGTGCGCGACGTGTAGAGAGCAATGAAGTGCCGCTGGACGGAGGCTATTGTATTTAGGATGCATTGGCGGCGGTATTGCAACTCTTCTAATTCAGGAGTTAATATGCATGGGAATTCCGTGATAATGACAGATACTTACGCTCGAGACCATCCTGCAAGTACCACCACGTAGCATCTGAAAACTCGTCGTCTTGAGCAAACGAGCTCCATCGACAAGAGCCATTCATGATAATCTCTTTTGTAGCGGCCTGAAACCTAGCAGGTTGATTCAATAGCCACGACACGAGTATCTTTTGGCGTAGAACATCCTCATTGCTGCGGCTCATAATTAACGGCTCGTCCCTGGTAGATTTACGATTTGTCACGGGCCATTTGAACCTCATGCCGGCAACGAGGAACTTCGAGACCGCGGATGCACAGTCAAAGCGATCAGCTAAGACAGCTAATGTAGTTACGAATAACATGGTGAACATGGTGAACTTTGTGACTACTTCCTTGCCATGAAGGATCCTTAGAAGATCGCCAAATGCACCTTCGCGATGCGCATATTGAGTTGCCTGGTCGTCATCTTGGATTTTGATCCAGGGAAGTTCCTGAGCTTCAGCAGTTTCGGGCTTGACATTCCTCACCGAGAGCGCGGCAAAGGCGCTTGATATATCCTTTGCCTCTTTAAAGCGAGTATCAGTGAGGAGCCTCTCAAAATACTTAGACTGAGTCTTAAGCGCTTTGAGGCTGACACGGAAACCTAAGCGGGCCTTCTTCTTCGGTGCGGGTTGTGAGTCCCGACTTAGTAGTTTGGATTGAGCGGCTCGTGCTGTTCGAATAGTATCCTTAGAGTTCTCAAAAGTAACATCCAAAATCAAATCTCCATCCTCGACAATGTTGACAATTTCAGGGAGCTTTTCGATAAGATTGGGGTCTGGCGCATTGCCGTCTGTAGCGCTGCCCGAGTCGTCCATCTGGCTTGTCTCCCGTGTGAGGCAGTACCCTAAAGATACAAAGATTCGAGGTGGTCATCAGTTCTAGAGCTCGTCGAAAAATCCAAGCTTACAAAAGTTATTGAGTGACTAATATCTATCTTGCATAAAGGTTTAAGGATCAAAATCAAAATAATTGTAGTTGACCTTGACTTCGACTAGCTAATAAGTAGATACTTAATGTTAATGTAGGTAAGGTAGGTAGTTGAAAATGATGGTCTTGGCATAAGATATGAGGAGCGGGACCACGGGAGTGACGTTCACACACCATTAGAATCTGACAGCTTGGCAAGTGTGGAGACACTAAATCCATCTCATAATATATTTTTATTTAGGTATCTAGGTTACACTTTTTGTTTCTTCAATGTTATGTGAATTACTCTCCATATATATAAGCTGCAAAGCGGAACGTCTCCCTAAGTTATAATGGCTCCGACAAAGTGTCGTATAGCAAGAGACTCTATCCTATACCAACTTGGAATTCGATATGTGAAGAAGCAAGAATATCGCGACCTTCATATAGGCATCTCTAGGTGGCTGGCTTGTCAGACACAGTCTTCTCTTCGTCGGACTTATCAGTTTGAATGACCGGACCAACTGGGGTCTCCTTGGATTTCATAAAGGGCAAATGTCCTTTAACTTCGCGGTATCTCATAACGCCGAATGAGATCATAACAGCAATCCAGTACACGTTATAAGAGATGACTGAGCCATATGTTGCCGAGTTGGTCCATCCAAGTATGGCGTTAAATATTCCCCAGCCTCCTTCGCCGCCGTTCAGCTCGGGGCTGCAGCACTATACCAGAAAATTAGCAATCAGAGTAAAAGACGTAGAAGCAGTTACATACGTTCACATGCCAGACACTCTTATCAATATCATAAGAGCCCGGTCCATTTCCCAGTTCGGCTGCATCGCCACCAATGATGTTGTTCCATTGCTGGTTTTCAAAATACCATACGGAACGCGAGAAAAGACCGGCGCCGACTAGATATAACAGGCATGTAGAAGCTATTAGGAAGTACTGCAGTTTTGTTCCCGATCCCCCCCTAGTGCAAGTTAGTGGAATGCGAATCATACTAGTTATCATATATCAGAACTCACTTGTATAGGATGTATCCCACGATAAAACCGGCGATTAACCCGACGACTACAGGAAGCGGAACCGCAGTTGCTGGCGCAGAGAAAGACACGCCAGCTACGAAGACAATGGCTTCGATGCCTTCTCTCAAGACGGTAATAAAGGGAAGGACGAACATGGCGTACTTCTCAGCGAAGCGCTTCAGCCAACCATTTCGATGGCCGCCCGTGACTACCGGGGCTTCGAGAGCTTTGGCTAGCTTGACACGCCACTTCTCTTGCATTTTACCAACACGAAGGAGGGCCACGCCCACGATGCTGATGATTATGGACGCAACAAGGGCGAATGCTCCTTCATAATTGTACTCGTTCAGTGCCCAGCTATCCTTACCCAGGGTATAAAATGCGCCAATCAGTCCGCCGGCAACGACGAGGCAGAGAAAGAAGCCGAGCCCGACTCCAAACCATACCTATAGCCTACGGTTACTCTTTCTATACTCAATATTAAAATGCCAGTTAAAGGCGACGGTGTCTTACCTGCTTAACGAGTGTCTTGTACACTTTTACATCCCGATTGGGGCCATCGAGGGTCTGCTTAAGGAAAGCTAGTAAGACAGAGACGATGATGACCGTTTCGAGAGTTTCTCGGAAAACGACAAGAAACACCGGGACGGCAAAGACAGTATCCGCTGCCATTACGAAGGAGAAGCTGGCGAGGGAACGCTTCCTGTTTCCTCGAGTACAAACTATTAGGATTGGGGAAGATTGGTCCGTAGTGTATAGGTAAGTATGTTTTGAAGATGGCGAATTATCTGTTGATCTGATAAATGGGATCAGATAATCTGGTGTGGGGTGCAAGACCAAGGAGAGGTTGAATTTGGTTACTACGTTAGATTGATGCTTGAGGGGTGTGGGAGATAGGTTGTTTGCTTGGACGATAAAACGTCGATTACGGCTAGACGAGAGAGGCTTTGAACATCTGATAGGGAGATAATTTGTTCAGCTCTGCTAGTATTCCGTATCAGCTGAGAGAGGATTTAGCTAGTAGTCCTATTAGGATCTCGCGTGGCTGTTGACTGTTGAAAAATCAACCGTTGATAAAAGTTGGCACGGAGCAAAGCAGTGCATAGAGGATCGACTTCGATCAGCCAGCAAGGTGGTTCGATAAATGAGAAAAATCGAACGCCGGGTTGCGGCAACCCTTGCAGGCTGCCTAAGGTCATTCTGCCAGTATCTAGAGGAGTGTAGGGTTCATGGCTTCACAGGTAATAAGTATTAACGAGTATTGCAGACAAGGGCCTAGACATGGGGGACCCGTTGTCTTGCAGTGGTACGAAAACATATATCCTTGCTTGGCGGTTCAAGCTTTGCCAATACGTCCGGCTACAACCCTAGGTTAGCTGCTTCTGACACCGATCCTTTGCGGGGATTTAGGAACGAGCAGCTTGATAATGAGCTCGGGATGGCTGGATGGCTGGATGGCTGGATGGGTCTTGAAAAGGTTTGCTTTCCTCATTAGACCTCACTTTAGATTTCGACCGAGTCTGCACCTTAGGTACGTTAGGTCGTCTATATTTATGTGGTTTTTCGTTTAATCCTTCCCGTTCAAGTTTTCAAGTTTTCAAGTTATTGGTACTCTCATTTTCACTGCCAATTGGTCATTGTTCGAGACTAGCGAGGTACGCGAAAAAGGACCCCACGCCATTATTACCAACCTCTAACTGCCTAAGAAATCTTATCAGATCATCGTACTGCAGCTTGTGGTAGTGGGTGTGTGGGTACGGGTAGGGTAGGGTAGGGTACAGTCTGGGTAGGGTGGTAGGGTAACCTCTTGTTGTCACCTACCGAGATCGCTATATGAAGTAGGTAAGTAGGTACCTAGTTATGTTATGCTGGGCGATTGCTTTTCTAAAACATTTAACAAACACATCCTAGACCCTGTCGTTGGTCAAGATTTTATCAAGTAACCAACCGACTTCCCCTCCTTTTGCAAAAGTATTTGTATAGAAGCACGAATATAACGAGTATAACAATGGCTATCTACCCAAGATCTAACTGTCATTTCTAAGACCAGTCCGGATTCTAAAAACATCAACGCTTTTTTACATAGTAGCATGTGCACTAGCCGTAGCGTTATACGATGGCGTTGTTCGTTCAAGCCGTTTTCTTTTAGGGAATATGTTGGTCTGGAGCGGTCTGAATTTCTCGACTCTCCTCCCTGCCGCTTTAATACTCACGGTGCATCAGGTCAATAAAAAAGCGCGAGCTGTTGACAAGGGTCAATACCACCGTGCGTCCTTGCTGCTGCTGCGTTCACCGATTGATAAGATAATCTATTAGTTCCTCTCTCCCCCTTGGCTAAACAATCGCTTTCGGTAAGACTTGCTCCTGACCCATGTAAGTCGGATACTGGTACTGTATGTATACACAGGGTTTACATACACAGGGTCTACATACACAGGATCTATCATCTATCTCCCACTTGGTCCAAGTCCTAGGGTGAAATAGTTTCAAAGATTCCAGATTCTTCAATTCATGTGCTAGTTCATGTGCTATCGAGAACGTCTCTGCTCTACCGAGTACGGGACTCCAATTATCTATGTAATTACCTACACCTAGATATTCCGCTTCTAGACTCCTGGTTCAATTCCCACTCTACCGTTTCTCTCCCCCGTATCACCCGTCAGACGGGAGTCTTCATCATGTCCTTGCCATTCAGACGTCTCGTCCCGATTGTAGCTTCGGCTGCTACTCTTCTAAGTCTCTCGAGCGCCGCTATTGTTACCCATAACTTTAGGATAGGCTGGGTCACGTCGAACCCCGATGGGGCGTTTGACAGACCAACCATCGGAATTAACGACCAATGGCCTATTCCTCCCATTGTCGCTGATGTTGGCGATAATATTGTAATTAACGTCTTAAATATGCTCGGAAACCAGTCGACATCTCTTCATTTTCATGGCTTATTCATGAATGGCACAGCTCATATGGACGGCCCATCTCAGGTCTCACAATGTTCCATTGCGCCGGGCTCGAGTTTCACTTACAACTTCACAGTAAATATCCGCAACAAAAGATGTATGTCGCTTATGGAACTAACATGACGAACAGATTAACCAACCTGGCACATATTGGTACCATTCTCATACCAATGGGCAATATCCTGACGGGCTAAGAGGCCCTCTCATTGTTCACGACCCGAAGTCTCCTTTTCTTGACACATATTACAAGCAAGAAAACGAGAGGGTTCTGACTGTCTCAGACTGGTATCATGATCAGATGACAGATTTACTTCCAGGATTCATCAGCAAGGGCAATCCTACGGGAGCCGAGCCCGTTCCACAGGCCGCCTTATTCAATGATACACAGGACTTGAAGGTTCCGGTCCAGCCCGGAACAACCTATCTCTTCCGTGTTGTAAACATAGGGGCCTTCGCAGGACAGTACATTTGGTTCGAAGGTCATAACATGACCATCATTGAGGTCGATGGTGTCTACCATCAGCCGGCTGAAGCCGACATGATCTACCTGTCTGCTGCTCAGCGCTGTAGCTTTTTGGTGACGACCAAAAACGACACGACAGCCAATTATGCATTTGTAGCGAGCATGGATACCGTACGTAGACTATTCTTGAATTGGGTAATTTGCTATTCTTTGATTACTAACCTGTTCGTTACCCCTATTATAGACTTTGTTCGATACGCTGCCAGATGACTTAAATTACAATGTCACTGGATGGCTAGTCTACGATGAAGCTAAGCCCTTGCCAGAGCCTGCACTGGTCGATGAATTGAACAACTTCGACGACATGACCCTACTCCCATACGACAACCAGACTCTGCTTGTCAAGCCAGACAAGGAGATTCAACTCGACGTAATCATGGATAACTTAGGAGACGGTGCGAACTAGTGAGTTCCCTCTTTATGCATTATACTCCCCTCTGATGCAAATGCTAACTCCTTTCCTTCTAATAGCGCCTTCTTCAATAATATCACATACAAAGCACCTAAAGTACCTACACTCTACACAGCTCTATCTGCTGGAGAATTGGCAACGGATCCTACCGTCTACGGCTCTTTTACCCATTCTTTCGTCCTCGAGAAGGGTGATATAGTACAGATCGTTGTCAATAACCTGGACACAGGGCGCCATCCTTTCCATCTCCACGGGCACTACTTCCAAGCTGCCTATCGGTCTGAGGAAGACGCCGGAACCTTTGAGGATTCTGGTGTCACAGAAGCCGATTTCGCTGCCACACCTATGCGCCGTGATACTTTTGTGCTATTCCCCACCGGCTTCATCGTGCTTAGATTCCGGGCTGATAACCCTGGTGAGTTTACTTCACACTATGACTCTTCTATCACATGCTTATGGATACCTAGGTATTTGGCTATTCCATTGCCATATCGAGTGGCACGTTGCATCTGGCCTCAGTAAGTATTTTCCCAGACACGAATTCTAGCTCCTATTTTGAAAGAGTAGAGACTAACATTATACGCTACAGTCGCAACTTTCGTCGAAGCGCCCCTCGATTTACAAAAGACGATCACGATCCCGAAAGACCACCTAGACGCTTGCCTTGCCGAGAATATCCCTACGGCTGGCAATGCTGCCGGAAATACAGCAAACTTCCTCGACTTAACAGGGGAGCCTCGATCTCCTGACCCGCTGCCAGATGGGTAAGACAGAACATTCCATTTTGCGACCATCTCACCTATTGTTCACTGTGCTAACATTCCTTACAGATTTACAACGCGCGGCAAGGTAGCTCTAGCATTTAGTTGTCTCAGCGGTATTCTCGGTGTCATAGTAGTCGTTCTATACGGCCTCGCACCAGACGCAGCTGCCCCTGAATGGGCCGAACAACGCGTTGCAGAGACGCAGGTCCCCGACTCGGCGGAGCGTTCATCAGGAGGCGCAGGGGCGGAGCCTGAACTTGTTACTGTTACGGCTGTATCTGGGGGTGGGAATACTAAGGCGTGATAAAGACTCATGAGCCTATGGATAATTTATTGAAGATGTACGTACCTAATGCGTAGGTGTAGGATACAAGAGTTAAAAGCCTAGGGGGGATATACCATGTCATGAAGAGAAATATCTAAGTTTGGTTTAATATTTATTGCCGTACTACGTATGTGAGCGAGATCCTGAGTAGGTGATTCTGCGATATAGTTTACTTCGAGATGAGGCACCCTTCTTTTTCTGTTTACAGGCTTAGCATCATCTTTTGTATCAAAGCAATTACGTAAATCTTTTTTTTTTCCCATAGAGATGAATATGTAAGCTATGCCAAATATTTGTCCTAGTTTCGATGTATTTCATTAATTATCTTACCTATGTAGGCTCTAGAATCTCAGAATGTAGGTATATATAGATGTCTATCACTGCACGGATAAGCATTAAGCATACAGACAACCTGGATCTGTTCGACATCTCAAAGAAGACCGAGTTACTGGTGCTAGTTTCTTATATAGATATGTTCATCATCTGCTCTCGTGGCATATTCCGTTTCTATATATACTAGGGCTGCTAGACACGAACGAATGTATCACTATATTCGTGCAAGTGCTTGCCGGCAGAGAGAAGTTCAACTACTGTGCTCTCTTAATTGTCTTGGTCAGATTTAATTGCTTGATCTGGTCTATATACCTTAGACGAACGAATATTTCGGTCAGAACAAACGGTCGAACTCGTGCAAGGTCTCATTCTCACAAGTTGACAATCATAGACCATGCAGACTAGTTCAATACTAAGTTCAACGTGGGGACAGAAGGAGGAAATAAAACTCCCAGAGTAGACACCTCGAAGGGGCACCTAGATACGTATTTGAATGGGACATCATGACATATCAGAATTAGCGTGGAATTTTAGGTATACAGCTCACAAAAGGACTTGATTGAGCTAGGGAAATCATCAGACCGCACTGCTCTCCTTTTCTAGATATACACAGGTCACTCCCGGATTTCGGTAGCGTCTATTTAATAGCAGTCCATATTAATTCCTTACGACTTCTCCAGCTCAGACAAGATCTTCTCTCCCTTCACCTTTGCCGACGCGAAGTCGCCAACCATGTAGAAGGCACCTTCGGGGAGGTCATCACCCTCACCAGCCAAGATAGACTTGAAGGAGGCAATAGTGTCCTTGAGGTCGACCAGCTTACCCTCAATACCAGTGAAAACCTGAGCGACAGTAAAAGGCTGGCTTAGGAAACGCTGGATCTTTCGGGCACGCTCGACAGTAAGCTTGTCAGCTTCCGACAATTCATCCATACCCAAAATGGCAATGATATCCTGTAAGGACTTGTACTCCTGGAGGATTTGCTGGACACGGGTGGCGGTGTCGTAGTGGTCCTGACCGACGACACGGGGGTCGAGCATACGAGACTTGGAGTCGAGAGGGTCGACAGCGGGGTAGATACCCAACTCAGAGATACCACGGGACAACACAGTGGTGGCGTCCAAATGGGCAAAGGTAGTGGCGGGGGCAGGGTCAGTCAAATCGTCAGCAGGGACGTAGACGGCCTGGACGGAGGTAATGGAGCCCTTCTTGGTTGTGGTGATTCGTTCTTGCATACCACCCATATCGATGGCGAGAGTGGGCTGGTAACCGACGGCAGAGGGGATACGACCTAGCAGGGCGGACACCTCAGAACCGGCTTGGGTGAAACGGAAGATGTTGTCGATGAAGAGAAGCACTAATTGGTGTTAGTAAATATCAATGAAGCAGTGAATATTATCCATACCATCCTGGCCTTCCTGGTCACGGAAGTACTCAGCGACCGTCAGACCGGTAAGAGCGACACGGGCACGAGCTCCGGGGGGCTCGTTCATCTGACCGAACACCAGGGCGACCTTAGACTCGCCATCAAGTTGAATGACGGAGGTCTCCTGCATTTCATGGTACAGATCGTTACCCTCACGGGTTCGTTCGCCGACACCAGTGAAGACGGAGTAACCACCGTGAGCCTTGGCGATGTTGTTGATAAGTTCCTGAATGAACACAGTCTTGCCGACACCAGCACCACCAAACAGACCGATCTTTCCACCACGAGCGTAGGGAGCGAGCAGGTCGACGACTTTGATACCGGTAACCAGAATTTCGGCAGAGGTAGACTGCTCAGTGAACGCCGGGGGTTCGGCGTGGATAGGCAAGAACTTATCGGTCTTGATAGGTCCACGCTCATCGATCGGGTCACCAGTGACGTTCATGATACGGCCAAGAGTGGCAGGGCCGACAGGAATTGTGATGGGAGCGCCAGTGTCGGTGGCCTTGGCGCCTCGTGTGAGACCCTCGGTACCTATGAAGATATGAGTTTATTGTCGCATGCGAAATTTTTTTTTTTCATCATCGTAACCTACCGTCCATGGCAATGCAACGGACGACATTTTCACCCAGATGTTGCTGTATGATATTAGAAATGATTTGAGAATATGTAGAATTGTAGCACTGAAGCTTACCGAAACCTCAAGGATAAGCTTCTGTCCGTTGTTGCGTGTCTCTAAGGCGTTTAAAATTGGGGGTAGCTTTGCGGTGTCGAACTTGACTGCAGGATAAAACTTGTGTTAATAGAGCTACCCTCGAAGACGCCTGGTAAACGCAAGGATTGTCATTAAGGTATCACTAACCATCGACGACGGCACCAATAACCTATTCATGTATCAATTAGCTCCCATCCCACAATTCGGCAAAGCTTTGGTAACGGTGTTTCGCGATCGTAACTCACTTGGTAAATCTTGCCGTCACCGGCACCGGCACCCGTCGTACTCGCGAACCGGCTGGTAAGAGGGAATCTTAATGCAGATGCAGCAGGCCTTACTGCGCGCCTTGTCGGGGCGGCAAAGGCAGGCCTGGCAGCTCTCGTGAAGGAGGAGAGGCCGCTAAAGTCGGGGTAAAAAATACTCTCCGTCAGCTCAATTGACCTCAATTGATGGAGGGGCACTTTGAAAAGTTAATCTAGACGTAATAACTCACCTCTTGAACATCTTGAAAGATGACCTAGAGCGATAGAGAATGGATGGAGTGGAGGAGGTGATAAGTCTGGGGGAGAAATAATTTGAAGCAAGGTCGAAATAAAAATGGCGCTGGCCGCCGTCTGGTCCGGATGAACTTGGGATCCAGGTTTGAGAAGGTCCACACGTCTAGTAGTTAGTTCACGTGACATGTCACATGAGTTTACGGTAGTGCCCGATTCCAACTCCACTACCTAAAAGACTTTTCTATCTCTATGTACCTTAATGTTATCTACATGTACATAGGTAGTCCCCATTTGTCCGATCCGGTCTAGGATTGAACTAGTATGTATAAGTATAAAATGCCTTTACAGCACAAATCTAAATCCTACGCCTATGCAAACATCGCATCCCATTGATCTATAAGATACTTGTACAGACGACCAAATTGTACGCCTTCCAGTCCCATTCCGCCTCATGCCTTGTAGGCCCAGCTCATAACCACCTAACCACGAGCCTCTATTTGCAAGATAATTGCAGTGATAACAACTTTTTGAATAGGTACTGACTATCCCGTGTACCAAAAAAAAAATAGTTTTCATACGTAACTTCTGACGTCTCATAAACTTCTGGCTCTATTCGGAAAGCCTATAAATCATCGAACACTAACTCTATCCTCGTATCTCCAAGTTTCTTCCTGCCTAGTACCGGGTGGTAACCAAGCCGCGTTACTGCTACCTCTTTGTCGGCCTTTGCCGGCATCATCGCTTTTCTTAAAATCATCGGCTACGGAACTTGTTTGCGAAGAATGACCATTAGTATAAGGATGAGGCGTCGGTCCGTTAGACATAGATATCGGGCTTCCGAAAATCTGTGGTGTTTGGCCGGAAACTCCTGTTTTATTTTGGGCCGTATTGAGCGGTAGCAGTGGTTGGTCCCCTCCCGCACTCTGACTTAAAAGACGTGCGCGTCGGTCAGCCTTGTTGCTATCGTTCGTCCGATCGTACAAGTAGAGACCAAGGAATGTCAGTGCAATGCCTACGGCCTGGATTGGAGTCGTAGGGTTGCGGAACCATAGAATCGCGACTGTAATAACCCACACTCGCTTAATAAGAGATGCAACCGAGTATGTTACGGGTGATACCATCGATAGCAAGACAAAAGCTAGAATATTTTGTCCGAAATGAAAAGTGCCGTTGAACAGAAACTCGAGTGTCAAACGCCCATGATCAAAGCTGTTGGGGTGCGAAGAGAGATCTACCGAACCGTCATGGTAGACGTCCCTAATAAGTCCGATACCTTCACCCCAAAACCAGATTGGGGACGTTAACAGAAAAGCAAGACCAGAGGAATAACATAGAAGGTTTAATTTATCAAGCTTGCGGGATTTTGCTGATAAACCATCTGCCTCTGCTTTGGCAGCCTCGTTAAAGAGCCTCTTAGAAAAGATATTCTGTGTGACGAAAATAATAGTCGCTAAAAGAGCGTATATGATTCCTACAATCTCTCCTTTAAAAGTGTGGTTCGACGAACAGGCGAGCATCACACCTAATGTAAGCGGTACCAGTGAGAAATATGTAGCTCTCGGATATCGTATGTCGAATATAAAGCGGTAAGCAAAAACGGTGAATAATGGTGAAAGCCCCTTTACGGTATGTACCATAGATACCGGAATCTTAGAGGTTGCCGTGGAACTCAGTAGATGGCCACCAATCTGGAATCCAGCTAAGGGGAGCGTTGTCATAATGACATCTCTCGATGGGTATCGTACTGGATTCTTCAATGCCGGGATCGAATCTCGTAGGGAGGGGAATACACTGGCCAGCCACGAGGAAGCCAGACAGTAAAAGGCGACCAAGAAGAACTGGATCATGGTCAAGGTGGCAGGTTTGTTGAAAGCGTTTAGAATGGATTTCGAAGACGTATTTGTCAAGGCAGATGACATATACCACATTATACAGAGAATCTAGACAATTACGTATGTCACGTCAGCAGATGTCGGACAGGGTAGCCATGATGTTTATTTGACATACAATGAGCTTGGGGGATACGGGTGCCCGTAGCGCATCTGCTAATTCATGGGCATTCTGGCTAACACTGCCGTTTCTATCCCTGATAGTACGGAAGGCTTCACTAATACTCTTCTGTCGCCCGTGGCCTCGAGGAATACCTGCTGACGGACCTAGTGGGGAGCCAAATCGTACACCTCTTGATGCAGAAAGGTCCCTCCGTGGTTGCCAACGATCTCCATTTATCTGAGCTCCTCCACTCAACCCAATCCCATATGCGTTCAGCCCGGCAGGGCTCATGGATCTTGCACCATTGGCGCGCATTGCCGGAGAATCGATATGGTCTGGAAACTTCTCTAGGCCGGAATCATCATCTTGGTCGTCTGGATGCTTGGCATTGGATCGGGGTACGGAGGATTCTCGGGCATATGAGCCCGAGCTCGTAGAGTGAGGCATCGAGATAACGGAGTTTGCGGTGCAGGTTGGCGATGTTATAACGAGCGACAAGCAACGCGCAATTACTCGGATCAAGGAGTGCAGTTCATACAATCATTGCTTCGGACCTAGGGCAAGGCTTGATGCGATGTGATTGATATTTTGAGGTTTGCTGGCCGGTTATTATGGATAACAGATTGGTGGTACAGTATTAGGTTCATCCATGAATAGAACATCGACTGACTATCTGCGTAGATAATGTAATGTAGGTAATAAGGAGGGTCTGACTTCTGCCGCGTGGCAACCCCTGTTGAAATGACTGGCTGGCTGACGCGATTGAAAAAAATGAGAGAATCTCGTAACGAAATGCCAAGAGAATGTTCCCAAGCGTCACCCTCAATTAAGCAAAACGCTAGGACGTGCCAAGTACCTAAGTACCATAGCTAAATTTGGTCAGATCTGACGCATTGATTACATACCTACCTATGTACCTACCTATGCACCTGATAATGGATTGCACGGCTAAAGTTTGCGCCACATACCCAAGATAAGACTTTTACCATTTTGGAAATGGAGAAGGTGGCTGGAGAAGCTCTAAGCTAGACTTCAGTTTTCAAAGTCGCGTGTTGAAATTATCCATTCAAGTCAGCCTTATCAACGAACAAGTTCATCCCAGACGTTACCATTCACCGTGTTCTATCTTTTAAATTGAACCTCCCTAATCACCTGTGCTTAATAATCTGAAGCTTAGGGTATTTCTAATTCTTTCGTCCAGGGGGAGTAAGGCCGTCGCGCCTGAGTCGTCGCATAGATTTTTAATAAAAAGAGGCGCGAGCCTAAACAGACGATCACGATGGCGCCTCCTAAAATGACGAAGAATCAGAAGCGCCGCGCGAAGAAGAAGGCAGAAAAACAGACCAAGCCAGAGGTATGTCCTTGTAGTCCAATTCGAAGCAGGCCTTCAATGCTAATGTGTAAGCAGGAAATACTCGAGGCCGACGATACTCCAGAGGTTCAAATAGATGAAGCAAAATCAGAGCCGACAAAGGATGCACCTAATAATAGCGATACGACAGAGCTTGAAGTCAAGAAGGAACCTACTTCGTCAGATAAGATCGCTGCTGATGGACCTACTGAATCCGCTGAAGAATTCGATTTCGATAATGAAGATCCTGCCTTTTCTATGTACAAAGATATATTTACCAAGTTTGGTGTATCGGGAGAGGAGGATGATATTGCAAAGGAAGCCAACGCTGGCAACCAGGGTGAGGTCTACTTTGACGACGACAACGACATACCCGACGAAGAAGACGAAAGAAATACGCAGCCCAAACTCTCGAAGAAGAAGCGGAAGATGCTTAACAAGCTCTCTATCGCAGAACTTAAAGCGTTGGTGAAGAAACCCGAAGTTGTAGAATGGCATGATACATCATCATCAGACCCTCGAATGCTAGTTCAGATCAAAGCGCAACGAAATGTGGTCCCGGTACCTTCCCACTGGTCACTTAAACGCGAATATCTTTCATCCAAGAGAGGTATTGAGAAGCCTGCCTTCAAATTGCCGAAGTTTATCGCGGACACCGGCATTGCAGAGATGAGAGACGCCGTACTAGAGAAACAAGCAGAGCAAACTCTGAAGCAGAAGCAGCGCGAAAGAGTACAGCCGAAAATGGGCAAGCTTGATATCGACTACCAGAAGCTCTACGATGCCTTTTTCAGGTTTCAAAGTAAACCTCAATTAACGCGCTTCGGTGAAGTCTACTATGAGGGCAAGGAATACGAGACAGACCTGCGGCATCTCCGACCTGGAGAGCTAAGCGACACCTTAAAAGATGCGCTTAGTATCCCTCCTGGGGCCCCTCCGCCATGGCTCATCCACCAACAAAGATTCGGCCCGCCTCCTTCTTATCCCTCTCTTCGTATTCCTGGACTTAACGCCCCTATTCCACCAGGTGCCCAATGGGGTTTCAACCCAGGATGTTACGGTAAACCACCTGTCGATGAATACAACAGACCACTGTATGGAGGAGATATATTCGGTATCATGCAGCCATCCCAAGCAGCACCCCCTCCTGGTGAGCCTATTGAGCGTACAATGTGGGGCGAGCTTCAAGAACCTGAAGAGGAGTCCGAAGAAGAGGAAGAAGACGAGGATGAGGAAGAAGATGAGGAAGATGTTGGTGCAGGCTTACAGACTCCTTCTGGCATGGAAACACCCGGCGGCTTGGCTAGCAGTGTACCGACGGAGTATGGTACGACGACCGAGTCTGTAGCCGGAGAGTTGGATCTACGGAAGTCCCGTCGTGGTTATGAGACCGAAGATAGCACCCATCCTCGTTCAGCTTACACGGTCATTCAAGAGAAGCAGGCTCGAGCGGAAGGCTTCTTTGGCAGTGACCGTGTGTATGATCTCAAGAACGCCGGCGGGGATGTGCGTGTCCTCGGCCAGGACGACGATAGCAGCCGGAAGCGGAAGAAGCCTGGCGATGTAGATGTATCTTTCGATCCAGACGCATTGGCAGATGGTATCAGCAAGGACGAGATGCGGAAGAGATTTGAAGAAGGGCGGCGTGATGAGGGTATCGGTGCTAATTGGAGGAGAGAAGAAGGCTTAGAAGAGATGATTGCGAATGAGAGTCGCAAGAGGCTGAAGCGTGACGAGGAGAAGAGAGACGAAAGGAAGAAATATAGGTTCTAGGCTGACTCGCTTCCTAGAAGAGGACTAATAATAAATTGATATGTACTTATTAGTGTATAGCATTGGGATCGATGAGCGGTTTGCAAGTACTCATTGCCTACCTAGGTACCTACCTGTTAGCAATTCAATCAAAGGTGATACGCCCCAAGGCGGGAGATTGGATAATAAATGTTCTTCCGTATTTCTCGCGACAACTTGATATATGCACTCATTTATTTGGTAAACAATTCAGCTAGTTATAACATAGGTACTCTCCTTTCTTCCTACATGGCTTTACCGTAAATATTCTCGCATCTACTAACATAGGAATAAGAGAAGTACAGTATCTAAATTTCAGCTTTCCTTTCTCGCGTCATTACTGGTAATAAGATCTACCTGTTCCTTTTGTGCACTTTCTGTTCCTCGAAGTAAGGTTTCGACTTGAGTACTCGCAAACTTACGAGCAGGTACTTTATTCTCGAACAGTATATCGAGCTCGGCGTAGGTTCGACCTTTAGTCTCAGCTATACGAAGACGATCCGGAGATTAGCAACAATCCTCCTATAAGCTAAGGAAAACAGATAACTTATCTGAAGACGGGGGATACTAACGTAGTCGAAAGAATATCCAAGCCGTGAAGATAATATTCGTGCCAGCCCAGAAGAAAGCAGCTTTAGGGCCCCAGTTCCACTCGGCCGGGTTGATTTGCCGATACGAAACAATATTGATAAAAGCGATATTAATAGCATTGTAGGCGTTACGGGCCAAGATGATAGATTTGGCACGTAACCGTGTTGATGGGATTTCGGAGACGATGGTATAAACCACAGGGCCGATAGAGAAGTTGGATGTGGCGCTTAGCAGGATGACCATTGTTCCTGCTGTCCAGGCTTCTGCAGTGCTAGGCGGATCATGAATTCCCATGAAGCCGGTGATCCTGGTGATGGGGGAGTTAGCCTAAAAAGAAGAATAACTAACGTTTCAGAGTAATAGGCATATAGAGGCGAGAAGGGAATCATTAAAACTTACAGGAGCAAAATAAACATCACGATCATTCCCCATAACACTAACGTCTTTCTTCCAGCCTTGTTCAGGATGAACCAACTAGCGATCGTCCCGACAGCGTTGAGACCATTCTGGCCCCAATTTAGCTTGAACGAATCTGCGTCTGAGATTCCCGCCTGCTGGTAGAAATAAGACGATAGGCCGCCGATAGCTGTACCAGACATAGTTTGTGCGAGCCATATAAAGCATACAATCTCAGTCCGCCTGAGATCGGTACCTCTGAAGCAGTCCCAGTATTTAGTCCCCTCGGAGATCTGCTTCTCCATCTCGTCCGTATATACCATCACTATAGAATTAGTCGCCTAAGCTAGAGATAATATACTAAAGTTCTTAGGGTGACCTACAAGCCATTGCCGCATCGGCATCGCGCTGGCTGAACCCAGAACTACGAGCCAGTCGCTTTAGCGACTTCTCTGCTCGTTCTTTATAGTCATGTCGAACACACCACCAGGGCGACTCTGGTGCGAGATACGTGCCGATAGCGATAGGAATCGGCCATACCCATTGTAGGGAGAAGGGAATCTTGTATCTAGGGGTAGTTCTTAGTTCAAGCGTCGTCAGCCCAGAATAAAGGTCTAAACTTACCCCCACTCGTCTTGTCGACCCTCGAGCCCGACAAGCACACCCGCTGAGATGAATTGGCCGATAATCCTGTATAGGAGCATCAGTATCTAGTTTTCGGAGGGGAAACTCGTAGGTTTGTTGAAGACTAACCAGCAGAGGTTGACGTAGCTGGTAAGATAGTGCCTCAGGGGCACAGGGCAGACCTCAGCTGCGTAAGCTACGGTCATGGTCTGAAAAATGCCCCAGGCCATGCCCTGGAATAATTCACCAACGAGGAATATTGTGAGGCTGTTGGCGAAGAACGGAAAGAAGATGAATCCCGTGACGGCAACCAATGCAGATATTATCGTCCAACGGTAGCCCCAGCGTTCAGACAGAACACCGGCAATCTAGGGCAGTTTCCTCTTAGTATAAAACTTCAGGGATAAATGAGGAGTGTATGTATACCTGAAGACCAATAATCTCGCCGACATTAGTTGCCCCTGCAATGCCATTCTGCCAACTCGCGGGGATCTGATAGTCTCCATTGGGTGCTTGAGTACCGAACTTATCGCGGAAAGGGGGGAAAGAAATATCTACGAGATTGATATTAATATCTATCTCAGGGAATGCAGTAACAAGTATTTACTTACACGAGCCAACAATCGATGTCCCGAATCCCTCCATTATGATACATGATGAGAGGAGCATCGACCAGCCTATAGCTTTAGGATACACCTTGAAGGCATGGGAAAGTTTCATATCTCGTTCCCTCTCATTTGCGTCGTCCGCCTCGTTAACGAGGGTCTATTTTCGATTTAATATGTCTCCTCTACTCTGTAGTCATATATGTAGGTATAAAAAGGTGTAAATCTTACCATGAAGTCGTCAACATTCTCTGCGATGCGACTGGCAACAGCCGGGTCGATCTGAGCATACTGTCCATTTCCCGGGCCTTGTTCATCTCCAAGGCCCTTTTCAGAATCATGCTTATCACTTCTGCTGATATGCTTCTGAATTTCTGGTTGAATCTTCTCTTCATCGCCTTCTCCTACTCGAGAGGGGTGCTCTCCGTGTTCTTGAGATCTGCCCATGTTACCCCAGGTTATCCAAGGGAGCCCTATCCGTAGAACTGTGATTTTAGGAGGTCCGAGACTGTTTTGTCTTGCCACGAGTCTGAGGAGTTGTCCCTTAAAAATTCCTTTGTCGCGCCCAGATCTCACGGTGCCGTAGGAATCCTCGAATAGGACGATATTGCCTATCAATCAGTAATATATCTACCCCGCAACGTTACCACATTCCATTCCTAGGTAATATATACAAGGCCACATCCCGAGCTCTAGATAACCAGGAAATCATCAGCCAACTGCAGCTCGTTATCGTATTAAAACCCATGCAGGTCCGATGATTGGACCAACGGCGCAGCATCCCGTCGTTCTCGGATGCGGGGTACAGCCATCGCTTTTACTTTCTCGAGATTCCACGACATCGGTAGAGTTTAGAACACAGCATGAGCCTTTCCCGTTCAAGGTTTTTGAATCACGTATGTATATATATTTAAGGTCTGATCACTTCCTAATGAAGGAAGTTCGAGAACCTAAACACAATCCCCGGCTGTATCCTGGGGTTATCAATATAAATAACCCCGGTCATGTGACAATTCATCTATGTAAGTAAACGGTGATCGTTAATCTCCATTGAAATGCTGGGTAATAGTTGATCACTTTGTCTGTTTCATCGCCAATAAGCTGATTTTTATCAGTCCTATCATCATAGGTATGAATGATTTGCGGAAGTCTGAGAATTTAGCAAGGAACGCCGCTAAGTATATGACATTATTTCTATTTTAAAAAGATGATTACTTGTGATAAAAGCATGAGAGTTAGTATTCAACTTCAACCTCCTTTCCATCTACATATGTATAGCCCGGTTTCCATGGGTCAACATCAGCATCAACATCACCTGTTAGACGCACCACAAAATATTTCACATTCAAGTCGTGACAAATTAGTGCGGTCTAAGAATTCATTCGCATTCTGCTAACCACGAATCGTTCTAAATGAATAGTCTATTAGGTAGAGATGTGTTACGACTTAGGCCAAGGGTTTTTGTTGTTGACTGCAATGGACCCCTATCCACAGCTTCGTCCAGGAGCACAACTCGGCCGCTTGAGTAATGATACACCTTAAGCCGCCGGCAAAGGGAAAAGCGGCTCTGGTAAATCATATCCGCACTGAAATACACCCATCTGCTCCGAGTGAATATAATGCTTTCACCTGAGAAGCCTCGAAATCAACAAGACCGATTATTTGGTCGGAATGATGATTTTCTGACCGTCCCTCTCGTTGCTGTCGGTCCAGCGGCCGAACACGTATGCGATGAAAGCGACACATGCTACAAAGGCGAACGACCCTATACCCAAACCAGTCGGATTTTCCTTAGACGATATTGATCTCAAAACGTAATCAGCTATCATAAACATGAAGAAGAGGGTGAGGATGATGCTGAGCCTCAACATTGTGACAGGAGTGCTGTGAAAGCTGGTAGTTACTCGTGTTCGGTAGTATTGATGATATGACTGGTTGTGGTAAAGGGAATATGCTGCTTGATGGCGGTTTGGTGTTTGGTGTTTGGTGGCATTGTAGAGATTATTCGAGAGAGGGATCGAATGGTTAAATAGTATTGAGAAAACCTTGGTAGGTATTTGATATGTGGTCGGAGATGGATAACAAACTGTGAGTGACTCATCCCTTTTTCAGTTTTGATAACACGTGTTGATGTGTCCTGCTGTTACGATTACAGCTATAGCAACAAGCACCTAGTGATTCCTCGGAAACTGTAACTAGTACCACAGACCTTTTCGTGCGCGAACATGTGGAGGTAATTTTCTTTCCAACTCAAGTTGAGGCTTAGTCAATGATGCCTCGTTTCCTTGAAGTAACTGGATTGCAATTATTACTAACAGTTGTTCATTTTCGAGTTAGCTTATTAGTAGTGTAGACGACGAAGAAATCATGTAAAGGGGTTTGGTGTAGCCTCTAGCGTTAACACTGAAGAATGCTACATTCACAACTTTCTAGGGGTCTGGTTCTATGCCGTAGGATGCCTAACTACCTGCTCCTTATATACTATTTAATTAACACTTACCTTCAGTGAATAAATATTTTATTATAACTGGAAATATTAAAAGTGATATTGTCTTAATGACCTATGGGATGTTTAGGAACCATTGCGTAGTCGCTTAGTAGATTTAGATAGGCAAGTTTTAGGATTATGATACTGCAAAGATAAAAGTCAAGGACACATAATAAGGTAATTAGGTGATGCTTATCAAGATAGTGAATTATTTTAGATAGATCTTAAGAATTAATTAGGTACCTATGTAGTAAAGACTACCATAGGTAAAAGGTACCTGACTTATTAATTCGATGGGCTCATATTTAATGGCATTCACTAGATTTTTACTACATTCGCGGATGACGAGGTAACTATCAACTAAGTCCCTTAACTAAGTCCCTTATTTCATATGGCAGTAGATTGCCTCATTGGTTATAGGTATAGTATGTTTGGCGAAGCTTCTGTAGAGAAGGCTCCAAAAACGTAGTAGGGGTTACAAAGAAGTTGGGGATACCTCGTTGCCACCTATTCAACATTGATCGCAACTGGGGCTCTAAAATCACCTATTGTTTATGAGTCCCATGCATTTCCCTCGGGAGTTAGGGCCAGGATTTCCAAGTCGAATTACCCGCCTTTAGCCACCACCCGTATAAAGGTGATTTCTGGCTTCTAACACGAAGTAGACGTGAGCTGCACATGTCACAACGCCCACGCCCAGAGCTCCCTAATTGTTGCAACAATCATTGCAACGCCAGTTGCGACACCCTACAGGCATCTTTATATGTCCTCGGATGCAATTGATGTGGTATAAGGGTTTATCGCAATCCTACAGACAGTTAGCTTTATGTTCCAGGGTGGGTCTGAAGGGAAAGTAAAGAGATACGGCCTGACTAACCAAATTTGAGCATATTAGTGTGGATGGTCCTCGGATCGGTTGACCACAGACTGCACATCCTGACGCCGACTTGCGATACTGAGTTCTCGGAGAGGGTGGTTTTGTAGTCTCAGGCTGTTCAGGACGCTTCTGAGACCTAGCTTGCCGCATAATTGCAAGCGCCTTAACAATAGTTGGTTCAACTAAAGAGTTCCTTGCTTTTAGGTAGCTCAAATGCTTTGAGAATTCCGTCATGCGGCTTTGAGACGCAACTAGCCACAACGCCTTGTCTTGAACGAATTTGAGATAAACGTCTTGTAAATAAGGCTCTGAAGTAACGCATTCTTTATTTACGTATGCGTCCCACTCTGAGATATATTCCTTCTCATCTTGATGGACATCGCTGTAATCCCGAATGATGTCTCGGTGCTTTTGTACCAGCCAAGTATCGTCGATATCTGGCGGATCGACCAAAGATCCTGGTTCAAGCAACGCTTTACTGAGACGATCGTACATAGGCTGTTTGTTATTTGGCACTCGTTGCCTAGTATCCTTGGGACGACCTGGGATGTATGTCTTTGCACGGGGTTAGTATCATACAATTTTCGCCGTATCCGATCGGTCATCTCATGTCAACTTACCTGCAAAGACTTTGACTGCGTTAAAGTGTTCTGGGTCCTATGAAGAGATATACTATCTTCCAAGTCGCTATCGGGGCCCTCTGAACTTTGAACGTCCAATATGTACGAGCTAGATCGACGCGGGGTTTCTTGACCATGATGAGAGATCCAGATATGGGAGGAACTCACATCAAAGTCATACTTGAACTGGTAATGGACCTTAACATGTTCTACTAGCTGGTTCATGGATGAATGAGCAGCATAGCATCGTATGCATTGGTAATTCTTTAGTATGACTTCCCCTGTTTGAGGGAGTACCCACGTAACTTGCCCGGCTTGGCTTCTATTCTCAGCCAATTTACGTTGCTTTTGTTCTTTACGCTCTTTCCCTCGTGCCTTATCACTCAGTATCTTGAGATTATAATTTTGCTTTCCCCTCGTTCTTAGTGAACGACTGGGGGTTGCCGCCTCTTCGTGATCCTCATCGTCTTCTATCAAGACATCCTGGTCATCTCTTAAATTACCGTTTGTCGCATTATCTGCCCTCCCATTGACATGTCCGTTTGTTAAGGGCTCTAGAGTACCACTAGGAAATAGTGCCTTGGCCTCTGGCGGTGAAACCTCAACTTCGGTAGTACTACCTGCTCTATGGCATGTGGACCATCTCAGATCCATGTCCATCATTAGTTCTGTCCCCATTTCTTGACCGACTCGTTTCCTGATCTTGACAGGTGTTGAGGCCCGGTGCTTTTCAAACCTGTAAACGACTTGAGACGTAAAAACCCAATGCCGTGGGTTGCTCGAGAGGTTGCCCTGGGTTCCTTCTTTGGGCAATAGGTCAACGGGTGGCCAACATTGATCACCAGCCGACTCTAACTCGGCCTGAACGAGGTAGTCATCAGCTAGATCAAAGCCATCATCGTCATCTCGCTCAACAAATATTTTGTCCGCCGGGACATGAAATGGCGAGTTGAGATATATCCTAGCTCTCCGGCAGACATCGTCTGCGTCTCGAAAAACCTTTAGATTGCATATTTGGCTATCGCAATAGAGGATGCGAATTTCCTTTGACCCGCGCAGTCGGAAAATGCTAAGCTTACAGCGGATACGAATAGACCGAGTATCCTTTTTTGCGGGAGATCCCGTGCCATTCAATAAATTGCTAGACCTGAAATTAGAGCTTTCCTTGTGAGTAATCTGGAGAACTTCCACACGAAGGGCTTTTTCGAAGTCATCGTAGTTTTCAGATAATAAGTGGCCCACGGCGCCATTTGGAGTCGACTCTGGTGAGTCTTCAACTATGCGACGTCTTTTGGTAGCACGAGAGCTATGCTCATCATTAACGACGCTGTCACCGTTTGTTGATGATAACTTGATTCCCATGCCGTATGGTGATAGGTGATCGACAGCAGTTTTCCAGGCTCGGTGGATGAAAGGCAGTTCGCGTTTGTACGGGGTGATGGTTGCCATCTCTGAAGGAGAACATCGGCGCAGTCCACCACGGTGTTGTGGTACCCTGTTTCAGAGATGGAGCAGTCAAGTAGAATATACAGGAATGACCAAACGACTATGGAATCTTGCCAGGCAAACTCCTGCTAAAGAGGGAGAGTAAGCAGGTATGAGTGTTGCCGAGCAATTGCCTAGGAAGCACCGAGTCTGGACGCAACCAATTAGTAATTACAGATATTGAGGTTGCATTATTGAATATCCTTAGCGCCGGAGACAAGTCAATGAGAATTATGGCGTAAAACTGAGATGAAGGCTGGGTGAGGAATTGACGATTAGGGCCAAGACGAAGTGAAGTCTAAGAGTGAAGAGATGAGTGAAGAGAGTGGCTATGGTGATGAGATGTGCAATAAATTAAGTGTGGCTGGCCATGAACCTGGTTGTTTACGCTGGGAGTAATTCGAAGTGACGCTTTACCGGCAAAATCTGGGGGGTTGCCGGCGCATACAGTCGCGATAGTAATCGTGAGTATATCTAGGAAAATGTGACTATAGAGAAATAAGTTGGGAGGGCATGTGATGCGGTTGACATGTCCGCGATGTGATGCGTGAAAAGTGGAAGAACCCGTCGACGCGTTCCGACTAACCAAGGTAGGCTGAGGAGGAAAGAACCAATCCTGTAGGGGTTAAAAATGTGTGGCTACGGTCGCATCTTCTAAGTGGCGGATCTATGCATTATAAAAAGGTACCTAGGTACGTACCTGATATTCGTACTTCCATACAAAGAAGTGCAAGCCACAGATACATTTCAATGTTGCAACCCTTCTACGGACCCACCTTCCCCCCTTAGTTACATTATCGCATGGGTGACATGGACTCCTTTTGAAACTGTGCAAGTTCAACGAACAAAACTTAGATGCAGACTAAACACAAGAAGTAGATATCTGCCCGAGTTGATAGATAGCAAATAGATGTTTGCTATCGGTGCTAGAGTAGATCAACGTATAGATGATGGACGCAACTCAGTGTATAACTTGTATTTCCAACATTTGCTCTGAATAGTTACAGGTAGATAAATTTGAACTTATACCCCTAAATGATATAAATTGATTTTTTTATTTTTTTTTACGAATGACCCTCGATATCCCTCAGTACTACTAGACCTTAATCTAGCAAACTTAGCTTGCATTTACATTGCTTAAGCTTGTTTTAATATAATTAATTCCAAGCTAAGCATTTCACTATTTAAATCAAGCCATAAACTAGGTACCTAGGCGTAGCAAAGTCTAAAGCTATGGTCAGGGTTTAGTCTCGATGGATGAGATTCATCCTAAAATCTGTTAACTTACACAAGTAACCTGGTAGTTACTCAATTAAAATTAGTTAATTCGAATAAGTAGTAACAACTAAAATAGCCATTAAATATTATTAATATAGCTATGCGTTTGTGACTACATGATTTATAATATATTAGTTACTATATACTAAACTACCCAGTCGTCAGCCTTAATACACAACTTAAAAATACATTATATTCAAAATACCAGCAACATCTAGCAAGGCAGATTGAAACAGGAACGGGGACTTGCATTACTACAAGCTCAAAACAAGTAGCGCTATTAATTACCTAAATGTTGATGATCGTGGCATTGGCCGTAGTAAGTAAATTTAGGGTGTTATTATGTCCATAATTCCAATTAGTTTATACATAACTTTCATCTGATAAGCTGAAGTTCAGCGGTACGTAGATACAGTTTCAGCTGCGTGCAGGAGGTACGTTCTTGTACATAGCAAGAGGCTACCTACCTACACATGGATGGTGGGGTACAGAAGGTAGATCCAATCATAAGCGAAAAACTTTATTAAGTGGGACATCCCGCCAATCTATTTTAGTTGCAGTGAGTCAATGCCGTACCTCGTACGTTGTACTTTCCTAGGATGAACACATACCATTTCCGATTTACCTAACCCATTTCAATTGTTAATTCACGCCGGAGCATTCACCTGCAAAAATCCCATTCAACCTACTATGCAGTAGCATACGTGGCTCTACCTCTCGATCCCCTTGTCATTTCTATGCCAACCGTCGTTGTGCCCGCTTGTCACTTCAAGCAATCTAATGATTCTCGACTCCGACAATGGATCGCCCTCGACGATCTCTTCGGAGTAATCCATCCCGCGCTGCCAAGTTGAAGGCACCACGCCGCACAACCAGATCAACCGCCGCATACTTCCATTCATACTCACTTTCATCTGAATCCGACAACGACTTCAACGATGACGACGACGACCTCGAAAGTAGTCATGCTCCGACGATTAAACATACGTTTCCCAACACGCGAAAGCGAAAGAACACCCGCGATGACTACTCGCCATCTCCGAGAAAAGTCCAGCGCCAAACACGCCGGGTCACCAAAGAAGCCTCTCCAAACGTTATAACCCCCAGCACTCCGAATTCAAATGAAGCCACACCTACGGCTTCACCTATAGCTCTCTCCGACACTTATACATCTCGCCCTCCTTGGGCAACTCTCCCATATCATGTCCTATTATGTGTTCTCGACAACGTCGCCGCGCCAATCCGTGACCTTTCATCACGGCGCGAGGATGTCTCCGAGGCGGTCGGAAGTTTGATGGCAGCTGCACAGGTTTGCAAGACTTTTCTCGAGCCTGCCCTAGCAAATTTATACAAATGCCCTCCATTCTACCACCACTGGCGATATACCAAAGCTCCTCAAACCTCTCTTAGCCAATTCATCGACACTTTGAACTTGCCTCCGAACGCCACTATAGTTAATTATCGCCCCAAAGTCGAGATTCTGCAGATGGAAGTGGCATCAACCTTGACACCAAGGTACGGCACAAACTATCTGAACTTACAGACTGTGGTCCAAAATCTACCAAGACTGTCAAGCATGGAACTATATCACGAATCTGATGAGCCACCTTATCGTAAACTAGATGAGCACGTTCGGTTTAAATGTGCTGCAGATGACCTGATGCAAACTCTGGCAGGCCGCAAAGCTAGTGATGCGACTGCCCCCACGCAATTGAAAAGCTGGCGTTGGAATTCGCGTCTCACTTCCGAATCACTCTCCCTGGATAAGTTGGCAGAATTTCATTTGAACTCTAGTTTTGCCAGCTTGCAAAAAGTAGCTTTTGTGAACTACCAACTTGCGTCCTGGGGGTTGTCGGTTAGGCAGCAGTCCAGTGAAGAGATAGAGAGACAAAACCATCAAAAGATTTCCCAACTCTCTGCCTGCATTTCAGCTTTGCCAAACCTTGAGCATCTCATCCTAGAGTCATGTACATTGGTTAACGGCCAATTACTAGACCAACTTCCCACCTCTCTCAAACACCTTGAGCTTATTAACTGCTGGGAGCTGACGGCAATTGATCTTGTTGATTTTCTACTTACGCATGGGAGCCACTTGCAAAGCCTTACCATAAATCATTGTCAATCGTTGAGCCTAGCCTTTCTCCCTACCCTACAGTCAGCTTGCCCGAGGCTACAACACCTCTATATGGATTTGTCTTATTTCCGACACCATGAACACTATGCTGATAATAAACCCGAATACGATGTTCTTCTTACGGAGAACGATGTGCCAACGTGGCCGTCTTCGATACAATCTATCGAAATCCTCCACATGCGGAAGTGGGGTCGTAGGGCAGCAGAGACCTTCTTTCAAAGCTTGGTGCGGAGCGCGTCAGACCTCCTCCACCTTCGCCGACTTGCACTGAGGGTCGCACTAGACATAGGCTGGCGCCAACGCCAAGAGCTCCGAGAGTTCTGGGTTGATAAGATGGCAAGGGTCTTCAAGAGGAAGACAAAATCACCCAAAGATTTCAAGGCAGTACGCCCACCGCCGACCAGGCCTCAACGGCAGGTCCAAAAGGATCTAAAACCAAAGATCTTGACTCCTGCGGCACTACCAAAGCGACGAAGTACGCGAATCGCTAACCTTTCGCCGGCACCAACCTCGTCAGAAGGGGAGCCGAATTACCCTAGTAAAGCCGAGCTTACGAGAGCCTCGGCCATCAGCAGAGAACTCAAGCGGCTCAAGGGGAGTGGATTGTTACTAAAGGAACGAGACGCCGACGACGAAGAGAGCGAAGATGAATTAGCCGCTGACCATTCTAATCAGAGTCGATTGGAACGTAAGGTGAGAAAGGTTACAAGACACTTATCGGACGACGGATTCGTTCACGGTCTTTGTGATGTGGTAGATATTCAAGTTGATAACCATCGTCCCATGGAAAGACAGTTTGACATGGAGGACTTCTTGGACTCGCCGGAAGAGTCAGACCCTGATTGGGACGGCGGAGACGCTGATATTTTTGACTGACAGCCCGCTCAAATAAGTTGCGGTTTCTCCTATATACCATATAGCAAGGGAAATGACTTGCATGAGGATGGATGTGGTACGGATAGAAATTATTTCAATGAACTTGGCGTTGGATGGTAAGGTCGGACATTACTAGATATACGTCATCACTGACACGGCTCTCCGGCATATGGAGTTTGATTAGCAAGGCGTCCAATACCCCCGAGATACAGAAGGGTTGGAATTTGCACTTTGCATTGCTGAACGGCTTACAAATAGATGCTGCACATATATATTCTTAGTGTCTTATGCTTGCAGACATGAATTCAGAAATTATACAACCATCCGGCCCACTTCCCATAATGTAAAACATAAGCACACTCCTTGCCATGTGTTATAACTAACTTCACTATGTAAACGGTAGCAAGTGTGTGGTTAGTAGGTACCTGGGTAGGTAGTTAGCCACTTAGAACTTAGGCACGTAGTGAACCGAATGGGCATTCATAATTTATAAAAGAATAATACATTGTAATACTTATGAGCATTTTAATTTTCACTTATGAAGTTTTATTTCCCTGACTGACAACGTCGTTTTTTTGCGAAAAGAATTGTTATATAAGGTAATGGGGTTGTTGATTTCTTATTGTTCACCTTGTTCGTGCTACGAAATAATATTCTAATATTAACTAGGTATTATTTAAAAACAAAGACTGGTGGTAGAATTAAAGAATCTCGAAATAAATACCGCATGCGGAAGCCATGGTACGAAGACAACAAGTTCTCGCAGTATGCTAAATCAGGGGAAACTGCCTTGGTATGTTTTATTTATAGAAGGTATATCTCCTTCAACCAAGATATATCGCTTATCTACTAGCTAGAAAGAAACGAACTTGTTGTATTCTTAGGGTTCGGGTAGACTTGGGATAACAGGGTGCTTTTGGCGCATAGGGAGAGCATGCAGCAGCTTTGTGCCATATTTTGAACTACTTGTTTAATAATTTGAACATTACTTGGGAGACTAGTTGAACTAGGTACCTACTGTGGTAGGTATAGGTATTTTACTAATTCTGAATAGCCTTTTCGCTATTAATACTTGGGTTTATAAATTATAGTATAGAAACAAGGACTTTAATAGATTTCTCACGTTGGGAAGTGCACTATAAATTAAGATGAAATGATGTAAATGTCAGAGATACCCCTTAATTGATGTCATACGTAAAGTAAATGTTAGGAGCAGCAGAGAAGCTGCTGTATAATAGGCGTGTAGTAGTATAAATCTATTAACGCTTATCCTTCTATCCTCTTACGAGGGCATTACGCACCCCTTATATATCTATTATACGTAGATCTATACCTAATTCATACTAGCTTCACTTGTCCCCTAACAGTGAATAATAAAGTAACCTAAAGCTTTGCATAAGAAGCATATAAGTCAAACCACCCTTACTGGGGCCACCCTAGTGGGGGCCACCCATTTCCCATACAAAATCAACGATTTCGCATATTTGTATTTAATTAAAGAAAATAGATAAAAATATACGGTCTTTGATTTTGAATAGCATATTATATTTTTATTATATATAAAAATTGAAAAAAATTTCAGGGCTAATATCTGTGGTAAAATGAATACAAGAATATACACTAACAATTACACATACAAATTTATATGTAAAGCTGTTAAGGGATATTATTGCTTATAACTTTACCAATTAATATGGTATAAATGTAGAATCTATATCGTTAAATAAGGGATGTTTTAATACAACTTTTAAATCTAGGGCCAATTATATAACTTATTTATCTGAGAAGTTATAAGCGTTTATAAAGTTTTATGGTAATTTGATAAAATTCCCATATAAAATTAAAATTAAAATTTTTTTTAAAATAACATTAAAAATACACTTTATTATTTTACTATTAAAGCATTAGATTTTAAATATGATAAAATATACATAAGCTATTATAATGATCGCAAAGTAAAACATAAGAGATTGTATATTTTTATCTATTTTTTTGAATTAATTATAGACATGCGAAGTTGTTGATTTTGTATGGGAAATGGGTGGCCCCCACTAGGGTGGCCCCAGTAAGGGTGGTTTGACTTAGGGGGTTTAAATAACGTGAAACTGTTTTTATATGCGGTAATATTTGGATTTGACTATAGTATTGATTAATTCCTACTCACTACCTAGGTAGCCACGTCTATCATCAGTTGGATATAGGAACCCACTGTAGAGATGTTGCTCGGAACTTTACAAAATCCTTTCTTCTATAAGTATATTTCTTTCATATTCCCTAGGTCTGTACTTTGCACAATAATACCCTGCTAGTCAAACCTTCCTGGCCATGAAGTCCCTTTGTCTACCAAATGGAATTTGTGTATCCGATTACTGCAAGCAGCACAATAGCACAATGATGATTATGGTCTTTCAAATTCGTCTAGGCATATTTCCGGACTACAAGCAAGATGGAATTCTCGTGCCTCAATTTTAGAATTGCCTGTCTAATGTACGTCCTCAAGCCTTTACGTGAAGCATAATATCGAAAATGGATGAAGTGATGCAGGATGCGCCGGGGTGGATGGAAGCTGACATGTATGGGAACCCCCAGGATTTCTCAGAATATTATAGAGCTGTAAATGCTCTCTGGAAGAGATATCGAGAGGAGGGCGGCCACGTTATAAGGGGCTTTAGAGACTATCGCGTGGATCGGGAGGAGTGGGCGGAAGCTCCGTTTCCGAAACCAGGAGAAATTAACCCTCGGGATTATAACATAAAAAAGAATTGGCAGCGGATTCCATACAAGACTGAGGCCTGGGAAAGTACATGGCCACCGTTTGTGCTCCAAACATCAGATTTATACGACGAGCCGTATAGGAATGATATAAGGGAAAGATGTCGAGCTGGCCAAAGATATTTCGAGAGACGTCCTCGAAATGATCTTAAACTAGCAAAAGTACTAGGCTACGGTGGAAATGGCATAGCTTTAAAGTTCAGAAGCATACGTCCACCTTACGAACTGGTAATGAAGATTGGTCGCAAGGGCTGGTTCAGCCCAGAGATCCGTCGCGAAGAGCGGTCGTTAAAGGTATACAGTGGTAATCATCGCTATTGTAAATCATCTAACAACTTGGCAGGAAGTAGACCGCGCGGCCCATTGCATCCAGATGGTTCCTCGGAACGAAGTATTGCAAGCAGAATACCAGGCCTATGAATATAATCCAATAGATCCGTTCGATTCGAGCGACGATGACGAGGATGCTTCTTCTCTAAAGGACTCGGAGGTTGAAATCCCGGACGAGGGCCGCGCCTTTCGGGGGTGGGATGACACTCGGAGATTCACTCATGAAAACGACCCTGAAGATGCGGCGGCGAAGCATGAGTACCACATACAAAGAATCAGGGAACGAGATGAACTGATTGATAACATGATTCGCAATAGGGTTGGAAATGACCCAGAAAATCCAATCTTCCGCCATGATTATGTTATCTTGGAGTTTGTGGAAAATGGTGACCTAGCGCACCTCATCCAAAGGATCGAAAATACCAAAAATGACCAAACGAAGAGAGTCCCTAACCGTGTTCTTTGGTCCTTTTGGCTTTGCTGTATGTGACGCCCTCGCTCTGTTTTGTCCCTATCCCATTTCTATATGAATCTGGCTAATGTTATTCTCAGTGGTTAAGGCGTGTATTGCCTTAGAGTAAGGAATCCTCAGACCCAAAGACAATCCTCACCCCTTTCTCCCAGACTCGGTAGTCCAAGGCTCATCAAATTTTTTATTAACTTAATGGATTATTATAGGTATCCTCCGCGGTTATTCCACCCTGGGCGACACGACAGACATCCCCAGCGAACGCTAGAAGACGCGATGAGGGAAATGAATTTATCAGATCCTGAGGGGGGGCCTGAGGAGTGGAAAGTTCTCGGAGGGGACCTCTTCGAGGAGATCCCGGCCCTCGCTAAGCGTTATGCTGCAATGCGGTTGGTCCATTTTGATATCGATGCTAGAAATAGTGAGAGGCTTTCTCCCATCCTTCCATACCATGAGACAAGACTAAATGTGAAAATTCTCAAGTCTTCATCGGTGGCCTAGACGCACATGCTACAGATGGTGAGCATGCTATAATTCCTAGACTGAAGGTAAGTTGGCTGTCTAAATTCTCTTTAAAAATATTTTTTTGATTTATCTTCTTCTCCTATGCTAACTATAACTTAGCTCGCGGACTTTGGACGTATGAGGAGAATAAAACCTAACAAGGGAAAGTAAGTTACACTGCTGTACTTATTCCAGACTTTATTTAGTTTTTACTAATAATTCGAATATAGTCAATACTACCTTCGACATCGCTTCGCCGGGAAATACGGACACTATGCCCCTGAACAATTCGGAAGCGAGTGGGATTACCTAGACGTTAAAAACACGATGGGTTGGGAAATCTCGGAGCAAAGGGTAGCTGGAAATTACGGATCACCAATGAATGTATGGGGAATTGCCTTGGTAAGATTTCTCTGGACATGGTAGCGAGCGTTACAAACGATCTGACGTTTATGTAGACCTTATGGACGCTCATGACAACATCTCGTCCGCCGATTCCACCCCAGCAGAGCGCGGATGATCCCATTCATTATGCAACATTGATCATGGACGACCCTGAGTTAAGTTATATAGACCAAGACCTCCGGACTACAATTACGCAATGCATGAGGCACTACCCCGATGAGCGACCAACACTAGAGGCTCTACTGGCCCAGGCAAAGGAAGGTACACAACGGGGATATGCTGGTGAGACTGACGATGTAATCAAAGACTGGGTTAAAAGATTGGTATGTGATAGAGCAGGTCGCATTCTGGGCCCAGCCTTAACTTCTTAAGCACATATTTGCTATTAACCTGGTCCCTTAGCTAACCTTTTTTTTTTAGTATGTAAAGCGACTCTCATCGCCTTGTCTCTTTTATAGCCACCAGTTTTAGCTAGGCACCTCTTGGGTAGAAGAGTGTATGCTACTAATAAGGTATTGGATTACTAACATACGTATTTCTGCCATATTAGTATCTACGACGCCGTTGAGCCTGACGACCCTCCTGGACCACCTCCACCACCTCCACCCCCTCCTGGACCGCCTCACGATCCGGTACCGCCGCCGCCACCTCCAGGACCTCCCGGACCATTTGGCCACCACCCTGGACCGTTTGGACCGTTTGGACCTCCTGGGCCTTTCGGACCTCCGGTTCCACCACATGGAGGTGGAGGTCCCGTAGTTAAAGAGCTTGGGGAAGAAGTGCACGCAGATGGAGAAGATGATGACGATGCTCCCGGGCCACCATATGGAGATGTTCCCATGCCAGGCGTCGCATGGCATGACGTAGTTTGGGAAGCACCACCTGGGGCTGGAGGAGACGAAGATGACGAAGATGACGACGATGACGAAATATACGATGAAAATGCCGAAAATATAGACCCGTTAGACCCGTTTGCAGGGTTTGACGGACCCGGAGCTGCAGCAGTTGGTATGGTAGAATTTCCCCCTATTCCCCCGGTACCCGAGGGGGTAGTGGACTGGCTACCACCACCTGGGCCTCCAGCACCCGTGGGGCCCGCGTTGCCCGCACACCCGCCGGTCAACCGTAATATTAGAGACAGATTTCTGCGGCAGTTTAGGCGTAACCGGAGTCCTCCAAGGCATGGGCTTGCTGCGCCTCGTATACGCCGTAGAGATCGTTTTAACCACCAGCTCCGGAGTAAGTACATCCCCTGTGCCTTAAGATGTGAAATAAATATTTACTCGTGGATTTAGATATGTTCAACCGTAATCGTAGACGTTGATGATATCACTCTGGGATATAAATGGGCGCAATTAGCTTATGTACCTATTCATATATTAGTCTTTTTAGCAGGATGAGGTCGATAGACTTGGTTGTTTTTAGGAGTCTTTGAGGAATTATGTTTCTAGCATCCACTGGCTATTTTGTTAATTACTATACATGATAGTTTATGTAATTTAGGTACCTGATATATACCTCTTAAGGATATTCAATGAGAATTTATCTTTTTTCCCCCTATTCCCCTATCTTGAGACTCAGTTCGTCGATGTTATCGCTTTTCTACTTAATGCTGTCTCATATGCATTCATCGATCAGAATGTTAATAGCGGCTATATGCATAAATGCATCGGTATTCTTTTATCGACTAGACTGTATAGCGTTATAGCGTTTACTCAAGCCATTGTATTCCATAGCTAATGAATTACTTACGTACATAGAGGAAAGAATCATGACTAGCCTCCGCTTATAAGATTTACTACGAGTTAATCTGGTTATGATGTTCAGCGAAGATATTCTAATGCTACAAGCTAGGAGTAAACCTACTAACCGGGATATCGGCTGTAAGCTAAGTCGAGATTGATGACGTATTCCTTTAATACTGGGCATAGGTAACAAGAACTACATTTGCTTACCCTGAATTTGATTTCAAAAAGAAAAAGAAACTTCCCCGTTAACAAGCCTTGGGGGTAATCAAGTGTGAATTATGTCGTCCATGTTTCAGAAAGCCAGTGCTTTCTTAGGCGGCGGCGACGGAGATGGATCGAAGAAATATGATGAGGAGGGCGAGTCGCTTACAACCGTTCTAGATACGGATGAAGACCGTAGCTCACTCACAATCCTCGTTTCTGGCATTACTGAACTTATGCGCAAATGCCTTATGGACACCTTCGACCCCAAAGAAACGGGCTCTCAAGACCACCCTTTTGCGTTGGCGAGCGACAACGGCGAACCGGTTAATCTTGAGGAACTAAGCAATGCAGAACGAGAAAAGAAATTACAAAAGATACTAGAAAATCAAAAAGCAGAACTAGCCAGACGTGAGAATGAGGTTAGCGAGGGGGAAATCGTTACGCTCAAGACAAACGCACTAGAGTTTTTTGACCACTGGAGGGACACCGTTGTGATCCGTGTCGGGGAAGTTGTCAACTCCAGGAAAACAGCTGAGAAACAGTCGAAGCAAGCCAAGCCAGAACTCGCAGGCTCGGATTCTGAACCGAGATTAGAGGGTATCGAGACTGAGGAGCACGAGAAGACGATCACTGGAGCGTTATTGAAGATATATCCCCCCGTCGAAACCGCGTTGCGCAAGATGGCCAAAGAGAAACGGATACTAATACTTCACTCCGTACTCCTGCTCCTTCTGAGCTTGGAACACTATAACGCCTACTCGCGGGTTCTATTGTTGTATCTAACTACCAGCCTAGGTCTCTCGGCCACGGTGCTTTCAGAGGACGAAAAGAAAGTCGCTCGTGGGCTTCTTACGGCAGCTGAGAAAATGTCGGCTGATGAGGAGACGAAGAAGAGAGCCGAAGAGAACCGTACCGCTCGCAAATGGAAGATGGGCGTAGCTGGAATCGCTGGCGCAGCCCTCATCGGTATCACCGGTGGATTGGCTGCTCCTCTCTTAGCCTCTGGAGTTGGTACAGTCCTAGGTGGAATTGGTCTCGGGGCTACCGCTACCGCAGGCTATCTTGGAGCGTTAGCCGGAAGTGGCGTTTTAGTAGGTGGTCTGTTTGGAGCCTATGGTGCTAAGATGACAAGTCAAGCTAGTAAGTAAAGCCCCCTTATTGCAATCTGAAAGCCATACTCCCGCTCTAGGTCTTCTCAGGAGCCAGTAGTCTGGGGGATAAGCTTGATCGGTCGAGATTACTTTATAATAATATAATCCTAGCGGCATTTACTTACTTTTGGTGTTGCAGTGGAACAATATACTCGAGATGTGGAAGACTTCGCTTTTGTACCTATCGAGAAACTAGGGCAGAGCGAAATCGAAGCACGCCGGTTGCGAATTGCCATTGGTGTTTCTGGCTGGCTGGACGATAAAGACGAGGTGGTCACGCCTTGGAAATGTATCGGTCCAGGCCAAGAACCATTTGCTCTCCGCTTCGAGCTGGAAGCGCTGATCAATCTGGGGAACGCACTTACAGCCCTAGTTACTTCCGCGGCCTGGTCCTACGCGAAATCTGAGATCATTAAACGCACTGTTTTTGCGGCATTGGCCGCTGGCTTGTGGCCGCTGGGCTTGCTGGTACGTGCGATACCTCCCCTAAACCGCTCGTATTCCTCATTGACATATCACATTACTCCTACCCCTATCCCTTCCAAAGCTAGAGTACTTAGACGAAGTATAACTAGCTCTTATCATAGGATGCTAACATAAATATAGAAAGCTAGTCGTATTATCGACAACCCCTGGAGTGTTGCTAACCAGCGTGCTCAAAAAGCTGGAGAAGTTCTTGCCGATGCTCTCATCAACAAAGCGCAAGGCGAGCGACCTGTCACACTTATCGGGTACTCTCTCGGCGCTAAGGTTATATATGTGTGTTTGCAGCAGCTTGCTAAGCGGAAGGCCTTCGGTCTAATAGAAAATGCCATAATGTTGGGCGCGCCGACTCCCAGCAGTTCAGCCGATTGGCGCCGCATCCGTTCTGACGTTGCCGGAAGAGTTGTTAATGCATACAGCGCGAATGACTACATTCTCGCATTCTTATACAGAAGTAGCAGCATCCAGTTCGGGGTTGCCGGACTACATCCTGTTCTCGATGTCCGAGGCGTCGAGAACGTCGACGTTGGTGACCTAGTCAAAGGCCACACATTGTACCGACACGCGACAGCACCGATCCTCGAGCGTATCGGTTTCGAAGACATTGACTTGCAGGAAATTAGACGTGAAGAACATCAATTGGCAGAGCAAGAGAAGAAGGAAGAAGAACAGCGCGAGGCTGCTAAGAGTGGCGCTAAACAGGAGGGCACTGGCGATAATCCAAGTACCAGTGAGGGAGAGATCCGCAGGATGGAATAAGAAATCGAGCAGAAGAACTAGTTTAAACTAAATATATCAAATCAAGGGGACCAAAAGCATATAATGCTTGAAGAAGCATCAAATGCTATAGTTCGTCCATTACGTATGTAGAGCAATAATTGTGTAAAAAGGTATTAAAAAGGTATGTGTACTAGAGTAGCGATTGGTAAAGCAAAGAACTCAACTGGACAGACGAGTACTAGACCAGCAGAGAGCCTCACATCGACTGAATGAATTTCAAAGGAGCCCTCTACTGTAGTTTCCCCTATACCAGAGCACCTAGCCGAAATCCGAAATGGACACCAGCGTAGCTGTATTGAAATCAACTTCAAGAAAGGTTACCTATATAACCAGGACACGGTATGAAATGAGTTGCTATAAGAGCAATCGACATCAAACAGATAATAATTGTATGGACTGTCTGATAGCATCTTAGCTAGACTTCATAGTCGTAAGGAATCGAGAGAATAGGTTATACGTACCTAAGGTATCTTTACAGGTGTAATATAAGAATAAGATATCGAAATTACCAACAGAAACACACAAGAGATATAAAATTATATTATAAGTAATGCTAACGATTTATCTTTATAGCGGCGCCGGGTTCCCAAAAATAATCGGGTATAAGTACTTTCAGGGGTATGGGCAATACAATACAGAAATGTTCGACATGACGCGATGCTCTACAAGACAATCCGCTCAGTAGTCATCAAGGTCGATTTCTGCTTTCCTCCGTCGCACTTGGATCCTCGACTTCTGGTCGACGGCGTTGATACCTTCGAGGACTCGCGGGGCTGGTCGACCCTCCTCTGGAATGAACCGCCAATCGTATTTAAGTAATAGATGGCATAGGGCAATCTTTACCTCGTTCGATGCAAAAAACCGGCCGGGACATGCGTGCTGCCCGTGTCCAAAAAGAGTGTGGGCCGGACTAGTGGTCACAAATTGCCAGCTGTTCTCTTGGCCGGGTTGTTGCCTCATCTTTAAGAACCGGGCGGCATCAAACTTCTCGGGCTCGGGATAAATAGTTGGATCCATGAAGTTGCTCGCTACTACGATGCGTGAGCCCTCCGGTAATACGGTTCCGTCAGAGAGTTCCAAGTCCTTCTCTACGTATCGGTTCATAGTGGCTAGATTCTTGTTTAGCTTAAATGAAAAAAGGGGGGCTGGAGAGAAACATACTTATGCCCATAGGCGTGATTCGTTGACCCTCCTTGAGGAAGCTATCCATAAGCTTAAGCTTGTACAGAGAAGTTTTTGCCCACCCGTGCTCGCCAATGACCTCGATGATCTCCTGTCGAAGCTGCTGAGCCACATCGGGATATTCGCAGATGTCAAGTAGCGCTGAACAAGTCGTCTCCGTAGTCGTGTGGATAGCAGCCATCGTCAGCGAAAGCTGCCCTGCGACGAAGTCGGCATCGCGTCCTTTAGCAACCTCATACATCCAGCCGATTGTGTCCGCGACCTTCGGGGGCTTCTCGCCCGCCGCATGCGCTGCATCAACAGCGGCTTTACGGCGTTGTACCTCGGGGTTGATGAGCTTTCGTGCATCTCTAACGGCGTGGCGGAGAGATCTTGATTGCGGGAGCAATACATAAACGATGGGACGTATAAACCAAGGAACAGCTCTCATTAGACGCGAGAGAAGAAATGAGTCCACGGTATATGATTTCGAGATATCAAGCCATCTCCGATTCCGACATAGTTCTTTGCCTAAGAATACCCTTGATGAAAGTCGAGCGACAACTTCAAGAATGTCGTCTCTAATGAGCCTGGTGGTCCACTCCTTGTTGTCACCGAAGACATCGTAGAGTGATGCTGCTGTTTCGTCGACCAGGTCATCCGTAATCAAGTTGAGTGATTGAGTTAACTTGATTCGTACCGTATCCTGAATCAGAGACTCGTCACGTAGGCCTAGTCGGTGAGCTTCGAATCCTGGATAATTCACCATAAAATCCTAGGTTAGGTTAGTCCTGTTAGTCACTTTCGAGATTTCACAGTAGAGATGTAACGGAGTAGGTACTTTAGCAAAGGCCTTGTTGAAGTTCAACGAGGGGTGGTTACGAAGCTCGTCAGCGAATCTATTGGGCAAGACAATCTTCGGACCCGTTCCTGTCATGATTTGGAATGGCCCGGAAAACTATAGTTATATGAATATTAGTTAGCGATACATACAACTTTGACAGGGATGTGTCTACTATGTAGGTTAGGTGGCTGTACCCGTTTTACGCCTTCGGTCACAGCTTTTCTGCCGTGCCATAGCCAACTTTTCGTTGGACTCTGTCCATCAACTGTTATGACCGGAAATCCAGCAAAAGGTCGGTCTGCGGTGACTAGCGAGTAGATGAAGCCAAGTACCAGGGTGGCAATGACCACTTGAAGTGATACAGGCAGTCCCTGGGGTAGAAGACGCTGAATGGCCTCCATTTTGAATACGGCCGTCAATATGTTTAGGACATAAAACTCGCAACCCAACCTACTGAAAGGCGGTCGACTTTATTATATATCCCGGGCAACATTTTCTAGAACATGACTGTTGGCCACTCATATCTCTCCTATATCTTACTGCTTGTTTCACGTCCCCACGTGGTGCATACGGTAGCGAGATCCATCACCGGCAAGCTAACCATTCCAGGTTCAAGCTTCTCCACGATCACTATTATGTACGAATCCGTACGTATTACTACATTGCTACATTCAGAACTTTATACATAAACGGTATCGGCTAGAAACCCCACATGCGGCGTAGTAGTATAAATGACGGAGTAAGTCGAAGGGGGGGGATACGGCACCCCCTTAGATACGGCACCCCGGTAACAACAAGGATGAGTCAACCAATCATACAACAGGGTTTTATCAGGGCTCCACACTTTTTAATATAAATTCGATGTATTTTCAAAAAAACTTTTTTACATTTTTACTTTTATTTATTCAACCAATTAAAAGCCCTCGAAGAAGCCATTCAAGCCGTACGCAAAGGTACATCGTTACAAAAGGCTGCTTCTGATTGGGCCATTCCAAAATCTACACTTGCCGGACGAATCAAAAGCCGCGAATCGATTACTAAGGCCCATTCCGTACAACAATTTTCCGATCTCGTTTTATTTTACAAGAGCCTCAAAACGCCCCAGTTTCGGAGATTCCTATCGATAATGAGCCTTTTGATTGGGTAACTACCCCTAAAAAGTCACGTGATATCGTTGAAGTCGCACAAAAATATTTTCGAATTAAACTCAACGAACCAATCAAACGACTCATCTTTAAAAAGGTGGAGAAAAGTGTGGATATATATTCATGCCAATTGGCTACCCTCCAAGCTAATGCGATAGCCTAAAGCAGCTAGTGGCTCGGCTAAAGCCCGCAAAACGGGCTAAAGTTAACCCGGACCCAAATAATATTTTTGTTCAAATAGAAGATATTCATCGCATTAAGGAGGAGCTAGCGGCAAGGCTAAACCCGATTAGGACTAGCGACCTGGTTTTATTGGCTGGTTTAAATAAGCTATGCTTAGAATGGCAGTTAGATATTTCTTAACCAATTATATATTAATAATTTACCTTTTTCCCTGTAATGTACCGCGTTATACCTAAAAAGGTTAAAACCAACCCGGGGTGCCGTATCTAAGGGGGTGCCGTATCCCCCCCCTTCGACTTACAGTAGCATTACTCAAGGGGATCTTCACTTTACAAGCCAATACATAAAGTGACCGAATACGGATACGCGATAGGATTGCACAAGATAACAAATTGGCGGTTCGGCTATTGACTAGCCCGATACCTCTCTTGCATAATTCTTAAGGTAATGAGGTCAAGCTTTTAACATTTGATTTTATGCCTGAATACCCGACCAATTACAATTGTTGAATCACGAATACACTTTCTTTAATTAAAGGAAATTACTCGCTACTCTCTGCAGAATCATTGCATGCACGGCAGGCAAATGCGCCCACAGTCGAGTCGAAAGTGACCTTATCCTAACTACAGATGTAGCTGCTTGGAAACATGACTCGGGGGTAAACTATTTAATATGAAACTTTGTAAGACTATTACCAATGTATTCGGTTCTTGGCCTCACTGTGCCTTGTAAAACACGACTGCGGTTAAGAGTTCCCTGGGTTAGATACTCCTTAGCTACTTACATAAGGTAGACATTTTAGTGAATCATCTAAGCAGCATTGTGTTAATCCTAGAAAATGTGATAGCTTATAGACAACACAAACTTTTAAAACTTGTTATTAAGCCTTTGATTAGACGGCCTCCAAGTTTCGGTGTACGACACTAATCATAAAGTTTAAGTGTTGAAGTAGTTTGTTTGAAATGACGACTAGTCTTCAATTTCTTATTCACGAGAAAGAGAAATCGGAATTGTCGTAGGGATAGTTTGAGCCCCTTTAAAATATTAGGGCTAAACTAAAGCCTCATTGCTCTAAGAGCGGTACCGTCAACAGTGATATTATAGTTAGTTTATACTAGACATTTCTACGGTATTTCTAGGGCTAAGGCCGATCAAAGGTTTCATTGGCAAAGAGCAATTTCGAATGGCAAAGTTATAATATTTCAAATCTAAACGAGTGTAGTCAGGCCGTGACAAATTAAATCAAAATCAATCACTCATAAAGAGTATATCCCATCATCCTTCCCGAGTTCAAGTCCTCCATTTGCTGTCGTCTCCCACAAGTCCTTAGCATTAAATTTCACTTAGAGGATATCAACACAGTTAAGAAGGTTGAGGTTGAGGTTGAGAAGGCCGCCCTGATAGCATTCAACGTAGTTAGCAATCACGAGTTCCTCCAACAGGAATAATTTTTAATTTAGCAGGTCCCACTTACACTACCATTGAGAACATTGTTGTTGCAGCAGTAGGCCTGGCCGCCACAGGGGTTGCCTAGGCTCAGGACGCAATCCAGAAGGAGGCCAGAGCAGCAGACTTCGTTCGGCTGGCTGTTGGAGCAGGAGCCCGTGCCCGTGTAAGTAGTACGGGCCTCGACGACCTCGGCAGGGGCAGCGGTGGCAACAGCGGCCAAAGCGAAGATGGTGATAATGTTGAACTGCATTTTGGATATTGTAAAGGAGTTGGACCTGAAGAGGCAGAGAATGTTCGTATTGGGCTAAGGAGAGCTGAAGAGAGCTGTAGAGACTGAAGACTAAGGTTTGATGGTCTGCGATGGTGATTATAACTTTGAGTTTCGAGGGAATTCAGAGAGCTTATATACCCATTCTCGATGCTCGTTTATCGACGCTGAGTATTCCCATGACCTCGGGTCCTTGCGTAGTCATGCGTAATGCTCCATGATGGCGCGTAGCTTATCCCCAGTACTGCACCCTGGTTTCTTCTTTTTTAGAATGGCGTTCCGCCATGGACAAATTTTCTCTCCGATCTATTCGATCTTGATGAAAATTCAGTCGGAAGTGCTCCGCGAGGGCGTCTGACTAGCGGCCACGACTCCTTAACGAGACTTCTTCATTTCACTGTGCGACCATAAATCGTATGTTTAGCCAAAGAATCAACCCAGGTTTTCTATAACCTACATATGCAAGCCACTACAACACAAGCGAGCAAGTCTAGCCTATCCAATCAACACAATTCCTTCTTCAGCCCTTACAGTATAGGTAACCTAGCTCTAGATTTCAGCCACACAATTTAGGAGCTGTAGGTAGCTTCAACATCCCAGCAAGAGTCTCCCCACACGAAGTACTCCAGATTCTAGGCTGCAGATTTGATCTTGGACGGGAAGGGGCGCTCGGGATCTTAAACTTGATTGTAGTGAGTACCTGGGTTAGCGATCTACCCCTTCACAAGAAAACGGTTATAATTAACGAGATTAATTAAATGAAGAATTTGTGTACTTACTTTCCATGGCATATATTCTTTATAACGGCCAAGCTTCTTCTGCTACCAAAGCTCTTGATTTCAAACAGTGGGTGGCGAAGCTGACCTGCACGGAATAGGGATAGACAATTGTATGAGTTGGTCACCGTGTGGTTACACCGTATAGTATAGTAACGTCATGATTATTTTCTGAGACTTACTCTTAGTGCATCAGACACTGGTAGAAGTAAGCATTTAGCCTTATTTCCATCTCCCGTGATTGGTAGCGAAGGTAGGTAGCTGCCGAATCCATGTAAGCCTCATAAAGAGGGCTAGTCAACTTTGATAACCTCTCAAGTTTCTGCGGGTTTTCACTATCCGCGCCTTCAAGCTTCTAGTGTCATTCTAACCTGTTTTATGATGATCTAAAATAGCAGAAGAAGGTCTAGGTCATGACTTCTTTGCATCTAGATTGTTGAATATTGCATATGCCCACGCCGGGAAACTGACGACAGTCAAATAATGGAAGTTTTCATAGATATTCATATTACATTAACCATTGACTCTTTAGAGACCTAAATAATGAATGAGTTGAACAGAGGTTTCATTAAATAAGGCAAGCCGCGAATTATGAGTTCTAATTGGTTATCCTGTAAGTATAATACTACGCCGATTCTCTCAACTTATACTATGTCCCCACCACATAATTCACCCACACTACCTACTATTCAAAAGCAGGAAATCCACGCTGAAGGTTGGCTGAGCGTAAGCAACTAGTGCTTAGGATCGAGGACAGGTACTCGCCTCCGCTTGATTAGACCTGGAATTGAACTGGGTAAACTGGCTAGCTGGCACCGCTCCAGGTAATTCTTTGAGCATGGAACGGTTCCGGTTTGAGGAACTTGTAAGCGTGGCGTTACTAACTTCCAAATAGCAAACGCTCGGGAGAAAGAGGCTCTTTAGCCATACAAGGAAAGTAATCTTCCTGTCAGGACGAGCTATCAATTCGTAAAGGTCGCTTACGATACATCACATGCTTCCACACCGTGTCGAAAGTATGATACTGAAAAGCATCCAAATCTTTAGTCCACCTCTCAAAAGAGACCTTGATAAGTGCCAAGGGTGATATTATCTAGAAGACGAAGCTAGGCCCAAGGGAAACGCAAGGAGCCAACCCTGGCGAAAATGTAGATTCCTAGTTGAAAGACATTGAGCAACCAGCAATAGACTTGCAGGAAACGTGCATAGCCGAGTGACATTGTTGTCGGGACCTGACTTGAACACGTTATTCAGTCGGCATAGCAGCCACCCATAACCATTCATGCCCACGCTTTTCCGATCCCCGAACATTAGGTACTTACTATGTAGCCACGTCTTTATAACACGAGGACACGGAACTATAAGTTATTGGAAGAGAATTACTTGGACCTGCATCCTACCGACGGATCGGGAACGCATAGATGAAGCTGGTGGAGGTAAGCGCTCCAAAATATGCATAGCCGGTAGGACTTAATAAGCGTGGTCTCTACATATGTCATAAAAAGCAAATTGCAACACGAGCGCCACATTACCAGGTTCTTCAGAAATCGAGAGGCAGAGGTGTACAACAGGGCCAGTCTGGACCATCATTTTTCTCCGAGAAAAGGTTCAATTTGAGACATCTTTGGTAGGACGTTGGCCCGTAAATCCCAAGATAATGATCAATGCTCTACGGTTATATATAGGTCACATACGCTCTCTCACTACGGGTGACGATGTTGCAATTTTTAACAGGTATCACAACATTAAGCCAAGGCATGAAACTGTATAGCATCGTAAAAATTGATTAATCAATAAATACAGCGGGCCAATTCTGCGAGTTTGACATAGTTCTAGTTTGTATAATAATCGAAGTGCCTAAAGATATTCAAATTCACAACTTGCCATGGGCCTGCAGAAGTGATATTGGCGCAGCCCGAACAGAACTGTCCAGAATGCCCGATTTTCGCTGCAGGTGTTCGGCGAAATGGCTTGATTATTATTTCAAAACAGCCGATTATACCATAAAATACCAGTCATAAGCATGTCATAATGTTCACCTTACGTTTCCTCTGAAGTAACCAGCTCATAATATAGATACATAACCTCAATGCCTTCACTAACTGGCAGCTATATATCACAGTAGCTGTAGTTATTAGTCTCCCCAACAACCACATGTCCCTCTGACTACCAGCTTGCTCCGGCGGGAAAGCCATCTTTAAAGCTGCATACCTATGAAGATGTAGTCAGAAATGCAGATTCGAAAAATATGTATTAGATAGGTACCTAACTACCCAAATATTCCTAAAATGCTCATTCTTACACGAGAGTGCATGTTTAGTACGATTTCGGACACCGATATAGAAGAAGGGCTGGCTAACTAGTCCCAGTACTCCGACATGCAATAATCTATTTTTACCAGTGATGCTTTGGAGTGTATTCGGAGCAGTAGGCATGTAAAATGCAGCTTGTCTAAGCAAAATGTTTTAGTGAAGAATTATGATTGCTAGATAGGATAATTGGATCGTGTTAATCGAAAATTTATAGAAATCGTCTGTGATAAAGCAAAGAAGCTTGTTTTTCATCTGCTTTTGAGATATGCCTTAGATTAAAGTTAGATTTTAATGATGGATGTGTAAGTCACCTACAGACAAAATCGTGAAAGTTATATTATTAACTAAGCTGCCAGCTGTGAAGAAGTAACACCTGACCGCCAGCTGACTCGCGCTCAGGACGTCATTGCACTCTCGGCCCCACAAGGCTCACGTTGCCGTCCAAGCAACCTTTAAAACATGCCGCTTGCCATTATCCAGCTGCCTGCAACTGATAGAACCTCGCATTTTAATATTCTAATATCTACCTACCTACCCTTGACCTACTACATCACCTGCATCTACTACCTCTTACGAATAATCTATACCGCGAAATACCGCCTATAAACGCTATATCGAGTACGTACTCGCATCCCCGAGCTAGAAAAACATTCACCCCTCCCAACAAAACCCCCCTCCTCAAAAAGAAGAAGAAAAGAAAATCAGCAAGCCGATCACGATCCAACCCCAACCCCAACCCCACCATCACCACCACCACCACCACCACCACTACCAATGAACCGCCTCTTCGGCAGCGCGCCCAAAGCGCCCAAGCCCACCCTCAACACCGCCATATCGAACCTCGACGGGCGCATCTCCTCCTTCGACGTGAAAATCGCCTCCCTAAACGCCGAGCTCGGCACGTACCAGAGCAAGATGGCCAAGATGCGCGAAGGCCCCGGCAAGTCCGCGCTGAAAGCCAAGGCGCTCAAGGTGCTCCAGCGCCGCAAGCAGTACGAGTCGCAGCGGGACCAGCTGCAGTCCCAGGTGTGGAACATGGAGCAGGCCCAGACCATGCAGGACAACCTCGCCGGCGTCATGACCACCGTCGACGCCATGAAGACCACCCAGAAGGAGCTCAAGAAGCAGTACGGCAAGGTCGACCTCGACAAGATCGAGCGCATGCAGGACGAGATGGCCGACCTCATGGACGTCGGCAACGAGATAAACGAGACCCTAAGTCGCGGATACGAGGTCCCCGATGATGTAGACGAAGCCGAGCTGGATGCCGAGCTGGAGCTGCTAGGCGCCGAGATGGAGATGGAGGGCGCGGGCATGGAGGCCGGTGGCGTGCCTGATTTCATGAGGGACGAAGTACCCGAATTCATTGACGAACCCCCGGAGGCTAACAGCAAGGTACAAGAGGCAGCGAGGTGATATCACGAGACTAGCGAGCGAGTTTACTTTCCAGATGAGCGGAGAAGGGAGTTATTGGAGTTTACGCGACAAGGGGTTTTAGAAGGTCTCTGATTTTACCATTATACTCTATTTAGTTCAACGTCGCTATATCGATACTCATATCGTCATGTACACATAATATCCCGTAAACAATACAGCCCTTGAAAGCTTCTACTCTACGGTCCCGAAAAATGTAGATGCCTCTTCGAGCTCTGGGTCCCCATTGCAAAAGTCCCAACCCACGATGGTGCTTGTCTGACTACAGCAAATTATCCGTCGTGCGTCGAATTGTAACTTGAAAATCCTGGCGGGGCTTGTATCTGCTTGTGGGATATGGGGATGTTGCTGGCCCTGTACTTGGCCTTGCGCTTGAGACGTTGTAGTCTGTGGCTGGGGCTGCGCTTGTTGAACCTGATGCTGAGTGTGCGGCATGGTCATATTAGTGAGGCTAGGTGGGCCACCACCGTTGCTTGTTGTAGAGTGCCCCGTTGAAGGAATATTGGATGGATTATGCTGGCTGGCTGGCTGAGCCGACGTCTCCCCAGCCGTAGTTGCTGAAAGGGCTTGCTGTACAGACTCTCTGATGCGACTTTGGGCAAGTTGAGCTCTATTTACAGCACTGCTAACAACCTGTCTTAGCTGCGAGCGAATAATGGGGTTAGGTTCACGACTGATGGCCGATTGTATGTGAAATTGGTAGGTTAACATGGTCGGATAGGAAGCTAACGCCTGTTGGAGGGCTGCTGGTCCCTGCGGAACACAAGCATCGATCATTTGTGTGTAGGATGAAGTCGTTTGAGGGGTGATGGTGGCGAGGATAGGGTGCTCGACATGAGTGAAATTCGGATGTGCTTGCGTTAGTGGAGCGCTTGCGGGGGGCGCTGGTAGGTTATGGGTAGAAGGCAGGGTTGATGACGTAGGAAGTGCTCTAGAAGTAGAGCGAGAAGGTGTCTGCTTGAGGGCTGCCGCCGCGCCTTCTTCCTGGCGAAGCGTATGTGCGCTCTTCCAGATACCATCCCTGTCCCGCCGCCAGATTATAATGCTTTGGTCGTAAGAACCGGACACTATTCGCCCGTAAGGACCGCCACCGCCGCCGGGAGGAAGCGTAGCCCCGTATGCAGTAATATCCTCAGGCCGGCGACTACCCGCGTTATGTGGTCGACGCTTCAACGACTGGACTTCTTGTTCGAGAGTCCCAGCATTTAAAGCCTTGAAATATGCCTGATCGACAGCCTTTGCTTCCAACCGATCTTGCTCGATGCTATAAGGAAGATCACCGAACCCAGCTTGTACAGTACGCACAAGGTTGCCATGCGCCCGCAAACTCGCAACTTCGAGGCCCGTTTCTCGGTCGAAGACCTTGACTTCATTATCGCTACTCCCACTCACAATACGCCGACCGTCATACTGGACACAGGCAATACCCTTATTATGCCCAAGAAAAGTCCTCTGGCACGTCTGATTTGGCCAATCCCACACTTTGATATGTCTATCGCCACTCGCCGAGACAATTTCGCGATCACAAATCTGGACAGCGTTTACGGCGGCGCCGTGCCCCTCAAGACATCCGATCATCGTGTACGGTGGTTTGATAGCGGCTTGGTTCATAGGCGAGTCATCGAAACCGAAATTTCTAAGATTTATCGGTACAGGGCTAACACCTTGAGTCCCGCCATATCCCAAGTCGCCAGGTCGTAATGGAACACGGTTGAAAATCTTGATCGTCTTGTCCTTGGAGCATGTTACGAGGATCCGTTTGTCGAACTTGACATTAAGAACTGATTCCCTGTGCGCCTTCTTCAGTCGCTGGATGATTTCGCCTGTAGAAAATTTCCATAAAATCACATCCGAGTCGCTACTTCCGGAGACAATTAGATCCTCCTCAGGATCTGAGTCGAACTGCAAACAGAGAACTGATCCTTGATGGCCTATAAGAGGCGGTCGTGTAAGGCGCCGGGTGCGTAGGTTCCATATCCGTAGCGTACGGTCTCGGCTACCACTGACAAGATACTCCGGGTTATATTGGAGGCTGTAGATACACTCGTTGTGTCCCTCGCCTAGGTGATCCGGATGGGGTAGCTGGAAGTTTTTGTACCGGCCACGATCCCAATTGCGTTCTAGCCTTCGTCTCATCGTATATAGATACTTCCAGTTAATTTTGTACCTACGATCAATCGAATCATAAATCCAAAGCGCAGACTTCAGTAGGTTAGGTAAGCCAGAAGTAGTCTCAATAAACGATTCGATAGTTGCTTTGCCTTTGCCTTTCGATACTCGGGAAGCAGACTGCCCTCTTTGGTCGTGCATGGGACTGGGCGACTTCATCATCAGGCTGCCCATATGCTGGATAACACTAGTGTTACTCTGAACAGACGAGCCACTCGCCCCAGGCTGGCGAATGTGGAAAGTACTCTTATCATACAGGTTAGGCACGGTTCTCGCTCAACAGATGCATCTCTCCAGTCTAACCTTCGAGGGTAGAATACACTTACATTATACTGGTTAACCTCGGGGTCTTGTGTTACGGCCGCATCAGCATCGACCATATCATAATCTTCGTCATCCTGTGCTGCTGGTTCCGATACAGCTCGTTTCTTATTCGCGTGGCCGTCTTCGAACGATTCTATCTTTTGAGACGGGACTTGGGTTTCATTCATCCTCTGTTCTGCGGCTGTGATTTCGGATGATATGGCCTTCCACCCTTCTAAGTAGAACAACCGCTGCCAAAGTTTGCGGTCTAAAGCCAAATCGTACCAGCCCCGGCAACACATCGCAACATGGATCAGCGACACAGGGTCTAGATAACCCAGGATTTTGAGGCATATCTCCGGTGGTAGGCGTTCCACGAAGTTGATATAGAGGCGAGGGTTTAGTCCGTTCATGACGATATCGGCGATCACGGTGGTAGGCAATTCGTTTAGTATTAACATTGCTAGTCCTAAAGATTTAAAAATGGCATGTTAGCGGAATAAATTATACAATATAGCAAGGGGTGAGCTGAATTGAAAGCAGTAGCAATAGCAGTATTTCAATTATGGGGAATATCTGGTTGGTAATCGAATCCGTGGACTTACGAGTCTTCTGGTGTATCGACAGTGTGGGTAATTGAGCCGACAGCCATGCCGGTATGTCGGCAGCTGGTCGCTTCGCCGTCAGCGACGCATTACTGGTAAGGCTACCTGAATCGGAGGGATTAAGGGGATGCTCGGAATAACCCTCGTCAGGTTCTTGGGTCGGAGAGAAAGGATCCATCGAGTGGCTCTGTAATAGCCTCGTGCTTATTAATAATCGGTCTGATAGTATCTTGCGTATCTTTATCTTTTGTATCTTGTAGGTTTGAACAATTCTGTATACAAACCTTTTTTTGAAACGGCGTTATGAGACGCAGAGATAGGAAAACAAGTGGTGAGCAGAAACTTAGTAAGGCGGCACCAAACTTGGTTCAGTATTGGTTACTGATTGTTGTTATGATGTATCACCACGTGGGTCGCGAGGCGAGGGGCGCGTGCAAAATGCGTTCCCGGTTGAAATAGACATGCAATTCTATTAATATGACAATGGGGTAGCGATAGAAAAGTCGCCCACGATATCAGAAGAAATAGGTTTGCGGTTGTGAAAGTGAGATGATCTGCCTTAGGGAGTTAGATCAACGTTGTACCCGGAGAGTTGATGCGACGGTTGTTATGGGTATGGGTTTATCGGAATGGCCATGTTTTTCTAAGCTATTACATAGGTGCACTAGTCTAAAGTTTGCCAACAAACTAGGACCACCTATTGGGCGGATTTGACTCACTAGTTGCCCTATCCGATACCTCACCGAATCAGAATCAGATCATGAGCCACTAAGTATCCAGGTACCTGCTACATATTGTAAGCAAGTGAGGGGGAGGGGCTACAGAGCCTGACCTTTATCACCTTTATCCCACTAGGTTAGATGCTAGCACCTGAAGATCCGTTAGTTAATCTTCTCTTAGTAGCCAAATTTAACTTCACTATTGCACCAATTTACACGATACGTTAGGTACCTAGGTACCTAGGTAGGTAACCTTTTCCCGATCGTTTCTTCTATAGCGGCTTTTCCTATACGAATAATATCAGGTATCTATGCGCTTGGGTTTTAGGATTCATGTAGGGTTCTATTGTCCTGCTGCGCTGGGCCTGTAGGATAGGTGCATCAATAAGAAAACAACCTTTCGATGCTACCTCTACAACCCAAGAAATGGCATTATCACAGCGAATGTAGGAAGAATAAGGCCACGTATGAAACTATCATACAACTGACTGGCTACCTGTAATCCGTTCATGTATATATGGTAAATTCTCGGTAGAATTGGATTAGATACACGTTTATGAGCGTGGGTTAACATCGCCCTATAACACATTTTACTTTGTTACAAATCGATCGTGAACTAGATTTACAGTCTTTTGGGGAGGATTATTGGTTTACTTAGTGAGATCTTAATAATTATGTCATCTTGCTAGCACCGAACATGCAGGCATTACGGATATATTAATGATAAATATTCGATTCCGCTTTATATGTTTGGGTCAATGAACTCCCAGTTTCAATATTGCCGTCTACCGGTTGAGAGTCGAAAAAGGCTAATATATTGTTGTAGGTCATATCAAGTATATACCCCTCCCCCATAAGTTACTACACAATCGTGGACTCACACAAGGACGCGCAAGTGTCGTGTATCTTACTTGTTATGTGTAATGGGTGTAGACTCTTAATCCCATTTCTAGAGCCAAAAAGAGAAATATAGAGGTTAATTAACCATATTAACAGGTAAGGATGTATTTTAGTATGAAGTTTAGAGAAGGGTCTTAACTAACTGGAAAGCGGTATAATAGCATGTAATATTTAATAAGCTAACACATAAGATAGGGGAGATGTCGAAAGAAGCATGCATAGAAGCATTATCGAACACTAATATATAATCCCTGCATCGGTTTTCTTCCCTGCGGCTGTCATAAAGATGATGCCGTCGTGCACCCATCATCCCGTATGCACTATACACCTGCAGGATTCGAGTAACCCCGCTTGGTGA